AGAACACGGTGACGCATCAACACAATCACGAGCCATTTGATAAACCGAACAATCACTCAAAAAACCGCCAGTTTTCCGATGCAATCTTGGAGGAGATGGAACTCCTGGCTTCGGCAGGATGTCGTCCTGCCCAAATCCGGGCTCTCATCAATTTCCCCCCCGGCTGTGAACCACTGGTTCGAGACATCCGGAATGCCTTGTCTCGGCAGAGAGACACTTGGTTACGTGGTCGAACGCCAATCCAAGGACTATTCGATCTAATCACTGAAGAAAAGTGGGCTTTTTGCATGACAACAGCAGACGATGGTACCCTTCAGTCACTATTCATGGCTAGCCCTGATGGCATCGAACTAGCTCGTCGTTTCCCCACGGTTATAGGAATAGACTGCACTTACAAAACCAACAGATTTAACCTACCACTTCTTCACATAGTTGGAACGACCAACTGTCACAAAACCTTCACTATCGCCCTTGCTTTCATGCACAGCGAACTTGAGGATTGCTATGTTTGGGCCTTGGAGCAACTTAAAGCTGTAGTGTTCAATGGCGACTTTGAAGACAGTAATATCAAACTACCCAAGACTTTTTGTACTGATGCTGAACCGGCTTTGTATAATGCCATCAGTAAAGTATTCCCTACTTCATCTCATCTGCTGTGCATCTGGCACATAAATCACAACATTGGCAAGAAATGTAAGAAGAAGTTTAAGGGCCCTGAATGGACAGAATTCATGAAGACATGGAATCGATACATTCAAAGCACCACCGAAGAAGAACACGTCGAAAACCTGGCTGCTGTCACCACCATTGCTCGACGTCACGGGATCTTAGATTATTTACAAACCACATGGATCTCTCGTTCTCACAAGTTTGTTGCCCTTTTTACTTCTCAAACACCACACTTTGGAAACTCGTCGACCTCTCGAGTCAAAGGCGGCCATCATCGACTTAAAAAATTCTTAAATGGTAGGAACAATGATTTTCTTACGTGTTTCAAGGCTTTCAAGTGAGCTGGTGACTCGCAATATGCAGAGATCACTATATCTTTAGGAGTTGAGAACCAGAAGTTATTGCTTGGTCTACCCGAATCATTTCAAGAACTTAACAGGGTTATTTCACATTTTGCTCTCAAGAAAATCAAAAAACAATACGATCTCATCTCCAAGTCTTTCAAAAGGGAATGTACCCAATCTTTTCGTGGAGCCTGGGGTTTACCTTGTTCTCATGAACTTGCTCGGTTATTTGAAGATTCTAACACCAAATACGTGCCTCCCGATCTAGTGCATCAGCAATGGCATTGCACTCTTGCAACGCCTCCGGGGTGCCATGAAGACCTCAAAAAAGCTGTGCAATCAAAGTTTAGTCAACTAATCGAACTTCCGGAGCATTCTCTTCGCAAGATTTATGAAGAACTAGCCAAGCTCGAAACCGGACGATATTCGTTGATTCCAATCGAAAACGCTATAGTGAAGACCAACACTCGTGGACGCCCTTGAAACTCATCAAAGAAAGACGCTCGATGGAAGTCTGACTTTGAGATTGAAGAAGCAGCGGAAGCCGAAGAATCTCGGAAGGAAGCTGCCAAAGAAGCCAAAAAGTCTGGCAAGAGGGCTCGTTTATCTGTCTCTGTCTCAACTGATATCTCATCAAGCGCTCCGAACTGCACAGCTGTTCAACTGGCCGGAACTACGTCTACAAACACATTGAAAGTTACCCTTTCTCAACCAGTCTACACTTGGGCCATCACCAAAGGTTCCAAGGCCAAGGTGTCTTTCTCCCAACCAATCGCTTCAACTTCTCGAACAACTCATCCACCACCAGTCTCTCAAAAGCAAGCTTTCAAATGTGGCATTTGCAAGATATCAGGGCATTGCGCCAATTATTGTCCGGTGGCAAAGGACAACTCTCCAACGGTTTTGCCAACTGTTTCTGTCGAAACCCTGAAGGCAGAAGATTTAGATACCTTAGTCACTGCTCCTGACATCAGCATCCACGCTCCGGAAGAGAAAGAATTGGAAAAAGGCTCAGATTCTTCCTCTTCAGAATCTGAGTCTTCTGACGGAGGTGACTTATGTCCATATTGTGATGCCCCGCTTCCGTCACAGCCATCAAATAAATTGCTTCGACTGAAAGAGACTCTACTGACAATCCCCAATCCCATTGTGAGTCTAGTTTCTCTTTCTAATCAATAATCTACCTGACATTGACCAATATGTTTCTGTAGTGGCCTCAAACCGCAGAGTATTGTGACCTCCACGATGCTGAGCAACATGCAATACCAGAAGGAATCCATGAGGGATGGCCCACTAAAATTGACTTTGAATTGCTAGCAAAGTAAGTAGCCCTCTGAAAAATCGCTTTTCATTGGTACTCAAACTTACGCTTACTGATACTCTTACTCTTACTCTTACTCTTACTCTTACTCAGGCGCATCCCAGTCCATAGGGAATATCTGGTACAGATCATCAACAGAAAGATCTACTCATCTTTTCTAGAAGAAGCCCAAAAACAATTTGATTGGCAAGGACGATACATGTTCTCCATGTCTGGTGAGTTTGAGGGTTTTGAGGTGGGGCAGCCTGGGTAGTAAGTTGTTGTTCTCTTTTCTCCCTCACATATGCCTCACCGTACAGTCAAACTAACTTAACGACCCTCAGTTATGGACAAAGGGGTCTTGTAGTGATGACTAGGATATTGACCAGAATGTTTATGTCGGAAACACCTAATCCGACTGGAATCACCCTGGACGACCACATATCATCCCCCTTTCCTCCCAAATGGTACCTTTGCCGAGTGCTGGTGCCGGAACTGGCGTCATTACTCATTGGCAAGGACTTGAACATGTCTAGCAGTGATCCCAAAGTGAAGGCTACTCTTGAAGCCAGTCGAAGGTTTGGAAACGTTATGTTCCCACATGAAGATGAAGAGCGTGAATGTGTTGAAGCTGAGAAGGTACAGTTGGGCAATGCATCGGAGAAATTCATGTTTACATCGCCACCAGAGTAGAAAATACTTGAAAATCTTCCTTCTCTCATTGTTCCCCACATCATTTCATCTTTTAATCCACCTCCTTTCGGAAATTGTGGATATTTTGCAATTGCAGCTGCTGTCGGAATAGCATCTGAACGATCATATCTGGACGTCCGGCAAAAGTTACTGGCTGAGTTGTCTGAACATTTGGAAGAACATGAATCACTTATCTCATCAAACCGGACTTCCAAAAGAACTCGAAAGGGCCTATCTTTTGCTGCCGAAGTGGTCCACAACCTGCAGGTTCGACTTGATCACGACCAACCAAAATGTGCTGTAAAATATTGGATGCGTATGCCATATATGGGGTTTATCATTGCAAGCGCTTACAATTGTCCCACTATTCTTTTCAATCCACACGCGGCAAACAGCCACACCTTCTTTCCTTACCGTACCCCGCCAAACAAACAAATTCCAATTGTACTGGCATTCATCAACGGAGAACACTTTGTCACCTTGAAGGCCAGAGACACGTATCTTATGCCATTTCCACAGGTATTTGGTAAGGACCGCAACTCAGACGTGCTCGAAAGCACTATGGTACCTAGTTGGGTGGAAAAGTATCAAGTTCAATTAGATAAGTGGGCTGCAGCTGCAGCGTAGATGGTTCCAGTAGCCATTTGAACCTTTGTTTCCTATGCGTTGTTGAGAGCGTTTTTTCCTCCTAGGACTTCTTTTTGTTTCCCTTATAATCTGTTCTACATCATCCATGCTCAGTTTTGTAATTTCTTGAAGTACACCACCACGCGCCGTTGTCTATTTGTCTTCATTAAAGATTAAAGGTGGTAGATAAACTCCGTGGACGAAAATTCAATGGGTGCTCGTTATGCTCGTTATCTCACTTCTCACTGCCCAAGTGTGGTTCACTCACTGTGCACTGTGCAAAGTTGCATACATATAACAAAACAACAACATTGGTTCTTTAAACTTGTCAAACCATGATGCCCGGTTTTAAAAACACTGGACAGCCCGGTTTTGATCTCAAACCGGGCTGCGATTGGGCAAAGCCCGCTTTACTATCCGAAAACCGGGCTTCGGGTCGAAAAAGGCGGGCGCCAAATAGTGCCGTCCTTTTTTTACAAAGACTGGGCCCAGCTCCCAACCTCGCGGGTGCGGGAGACGGGGATTCCCCAGAATTGCGGGGGCGCGGTGCAGATTTCTGTGCAGGCCTCGCTTTTAGCCCCTCCAGCTTCTGAGAAGCCGCCCCCCGCAAATTCACCGCCAAAAGATTTTCCTTAAAACTCGTCCCGCCCCAGTCTGGGAGTCCCCGGAATTGCGGGGGCGGGGCGAGGGCCTTCTGATGAGGGTGATGGGGACGTGGGAAGTTGTTTGGAATCGGAAGAAGATTCAGCCACTGCCATGCAATGGGGCTGTGATCCGGCTATGGGGCTGTGATCTGATAGAGGCTCAGAGAGTCAGAGAGTTGGAGCCGAGTCCGACTTTCTGACGCTCTGAAAAACTGCTGATTATTTTTTTGAAATTTTCTGAATTCATATTTGCAGACCATGTTTGAGTTGAGACAGTTGAGACTTATGATATGGCGACCTACAACTATGTACATCTGACGACATCAACGACTGAACTTTGCCAGATTTTTCTCTTGTCTGCTTCCTAGCCGGTCAAACACGACATACGCTTGAAATCAAAACTAAATAGAGCTAAGGAATTTGAAGCCTGGCTCATCATGTGAGTGAGCACGGGCTGAGAACCAACTTCCTTGTCCAGGAGGTAAAGCTTCTTGTGAAATCGACTTTCAGGTTGGCATTCTTCAACGACACCTCCATCTCGTTCTCCTGGTTTTCATGAGGAGAGGCTCATTTTGAAATCTGGTGGTCATTTCCTCTACTTAATATCCTCCCGGCACCAGTACGATTAGCTAGTTCCTGCTATCATATACGTGATCTACTCAGGTGGGTTTCACGAACCCAGAGCTGAGACAGAAGGTGTTGCCTCGGCAGTCCAAGCAGCCGATGACCTCTCAAAAGCTTTCTACATCCTTCAAGGGTTCTGATCCGGCCATCCTTCGGTTACCGGACGAAGTTCTTGACATTATCATCAGATACGCTGAGCAGGAATTCTTCGACAAATATTATCCAGCTGGTACAAGTTCGCCTCGGCCGTTGTATCGGATTACTTCCGATAATTTACCCCGCACGAGAATCCGTTCTTTGCTGATCGTCTGCCGGAAGTTTTTCTATCGAATCGAGCCTTTTGTGTACAACGTGATCGTCATGCCCCCTTTTTTAAATCCGAGCAAGGCAATGGAGATTACCGATCAAATTGGATCGCACTCCCACCCTCACTGGCTTAGAGGACTGCGAATAGGCACTTTAGAACCAACGACACCTTTAATCGAACCGCAACGGCTCGCGGAATGCATCTCGAGGATCTCTGTTCATCTTCACATTATTCACCTGGATGGACTCATTACAGACAGTTTTCTGAGCGCAGAGCTCTATCCTGTCCTTACGCAGCTCGCAAGCCTTTCAACACTAGAACTTTCCAGCCCGTCACAAACGATCGACATCACCCGGATCTTGAAAACAATCTTTCATCTACCGCAGCTCAAGTCTCTTTTTCTAAGCCTGGGCGATTTTTCACGGTTACCAGCCATTTTGCAGTCATCTGAAGACCTGATTGCATATTGTGGTTCCATCTTTGATCACTCGCGACCTCCTTTGGTCAATCTGGCCGTACAATTCTCGCTAAATAATCCACCGCGACTAGATGGACTAGCAGCCTTTCTGGGGATATTTGCTCCTACCCTGCGCGTCCTTCGTCTACGGGGTAACCTAGGTCCCGGCTTGTCCGGCGCCTTGTCACCAGTCGCTGGCAGCCTACACGCTCTGGAGATAGCCAAGATCGATGCCACGTTGGAAGGTGCGATTAACCTTTCCATGGACCGTGTGCAGACTCTGGTGTTGGGTCACCCGACTGGGTTTGTGCCGTATTTTCAATGGCGTAAACAATTATTCAAAAGTACAAGTACACTTGTTCTCCAATTTTCCAACAATCTGCGGCCCGCCACAATCGAACCGCTCATCGACCCCATACAGCTACAAAGATTGATACTGGTAGACTTCTCGGGGAGAGAGTACAACAAATCTTCCTCGCAACCTAACACAGCCATGTTTGATTGGTGCGCTCAACACTCGATCAAACTTTCAGTGATAGCTCGAGTATCTTTTGTTGACCACCTCTTTCAAAAAGTATTGGATGAAATTATGTACGTTCGAGTCTTGTCTTATTCTTTCTTATACCCCCATGCTCATCCTATGTGTCTGACACTTTTCTCTTCCACCTGCCCTCGTACTATACCCCGCGATCCTCGTGACAGTTACCAAGCAATGCCTCCTTATCTAAACAAACAACTTTTTCCTGAGTCGTTGGAGACTCTCATTTGATCTCTCTGATCCACCTCTTTAAGATCGCTACTTGAATTCCTTACTTGTATATTCAATTCAGCAAAGCACTACAAATAATTACTGAATCTCCTCAACCCTGTTTTTCTTGCAAATTGCACATCAACTAATTCAATCTTCAGCAAACTCGTCTTCACCATCACATTCTTGTTCCACACATATTAGATACCACCTCAATGTATTTAGATGTACTTATCACTGATCACTGACAGCAGCCGGGAATTATAACCTTCAAACACATTTGTAATAAATATCCCGCCACGCAACACGCGAGATACAAGCTGACAGCCATGCTACTGTTTCCAGCCTCTGTAACTTTCCTGGTCCGACCAATACCATAAAAAGAGTATCAAGGGTGATATGAGGAGGATGACACTTGAATCACTAGGACTCCCAGTCCAGTACAACAAGAAAGGAGATGATCTCTCATCTCTTTCAAGATAGTATGCATCTGTTGCTTGGGGCCAATATCTTTATGATAGGTAATCAAGTAGAAAGTGTCTTTCCAGTTATGTATTCTGATATTGATCTTAGAATGCCCTTGTAGAAACATATCTGATTGTACTTTTAAGACAATTCTAGAAAATGAAGAAGAGCAGATACAATACGTACGAATTGTGGATCAAAGACAGAAACAGATCACGGTGACAGCGATACTACAAATGGATCGAGACGGCCTTGCAGCCTTGAGGGGTCTTTCTGAAGTAATCGAAGTTTCGCTGTTGAAGATTGATGGAGTGGGCTTGACCACATCAAAATGTAGCGATGCGTTGACCCTCGTTCACCAGAGTCAGAGCTGATGAGCCTGAGCTCCGACGGGACGGCGAGCGTTGGCTCGCCCGACCTCTAACCGAAGGGTGCAAAGGTAGGATCCCGGACTGGTCCATCCAGTTGATGATGTCAGATCTCGAGTCTTCAACCTCTGCCACTATCCCAAATTCCAATCAACTTCTTCACCATTGATACGACTGCGACTCAGGAAACCAAACAAAAATGGGTCGAATTAGCCCATGATAGAGGCAGATCTAGGGCCTACCGGATCAAGGACCTAGAATGTGCCAGTCGACTCATGAGCATCATTTGAGACAATGCGAGGGCTCGTAGGGATAGCGCGGTATGTATGTAGATGGCTACGGCTGCAATACTGCGTTCCTGAAGCACGATCGAGTTATATACGTTCGTCCTCATCAGGCACCTTAGATGACTGGCTGCTGTGAAACGAATCCGCTATCTCAAAACTTTGTGATTTATAGAGGAATGAGACCGCGCCTCAGACAGCCCATGATAGAATGTAGACACATTGACTGAATGATCCAATTTCTACTGAAGATGGCAGAAGTGTTTCCCTGGCCTGGACTGCTTAGCGGGCATTGCTTTGCACTGATGAGATACATATAATCTTGGTCAGCTTCAGATTCTTTTGTCCCACTCGCAACGCATTGAAAATTACTCTACCCTCCACATTTCATTGTTTTGATCTCCTTCCAATCCTCAAACTCAAACCTTTCTTATCTTATCATCTCACCTCGCTTATCCGCCCACATACAAAATGGCTGACACTGTTCCGACCCTCACTTGGAAAATTTTATTCATGCGCATTGGGGCTGTCTTGGGCCCCATGTGCTGCTGTGGCGCCTCACTCAGCATTCTGTTGCCGCTCAGTAAATGCCTCTTTCCAATTCCGATCTCTTGATAGCTTGCTAACTCATTTGGCTTTCCAGTTACCCAAAGCTTCAGTATAACTCCAGATTCTGGCCTCTTTCTCGCTGCCATACTCTCTACGGTGAGCAGAGTTCCGGAAACACAATCAGCTTATGCCGAGGATACTGATCATCCACCAACCTCCTTCTCCAGATATTCTTAACCTTCGCGTACGGTCTGGACTCTGCATACATTTGCTTTACACATTAAGCTGATCTACATAAATTCCCCTTTTTGGCTGATATTACAGAATCTGCTTTGTCTATACCTGGATCGGGCTCTTTGTTCTTGTTGAGCATCCATTTCAGCTTATCACAACAACCACATTGCATATCATTGGTTCATATGCATTACACGGCTGGGAAGGTTTTGAGGACCCAAGAGGGCTTTTCAAGATTTGGTTTTTTCATATCCCACTGATCATAGTACGTTATGTTCTGACTCTATTTTAGCCATTGTGATCTCTTTCGGGATCAACAACCAAAGCTTACAGAGTCAAATTATCTTATTTTCGCCTTTAATAGGCTTTTAATCACCTTCGCAGTTATCTCACTGCCCACACACCCAGTGAAAGGGAACTGTTTTGGGAATTCTACAGACTCTCGCGCGTTCGAGTCGATCCGCATGATGTTCAATCAGAAAAGGAGCAGATGTTAATTGATTTGGCTTGATACAAGAAACACATCCACCAATCTCACTACAATCCATTGTTATAGCCTCCTCATAACAATACTTCATATATTTCTTGTGCTGCAGCATTTCCTCAGGCTTTGTTCATCTGACTCCTCCTTTATTGTTTCATCCCCTTGTTGTACCAAAACAGTCTTTTCTATGAGCCTAAGATCATGTAATACCAATGATATCAGTTTCAATCTGCGGCGTTGAATGATTTGACTGGATCGAGTTGGGTTGATTGAGCTCATTAGCAGGTGGCTTGAAAAGATCGTCCTTATTAGTTGTATCCGTAGCAGCACCGGCAAGATGTTGACGTAGACGGATAGGTCCATCATGTTGTTTGATGGCTGAGAATAACTCTTCATGTAATGTATCCAAGAAGAAAGACAAGAGTTGTTCTTGTTGTTGAAGTCAAGAATGAACATGGTATAGATGGCCCAGCTATAGGATTGATTGATGGATTTGAATGAGTTTCTACTGATATCATCTTGATTCTGAATCTGATTGATTTCTTATTGTTGTTTGTTTGTTTTCTTTTGAATGCTGAGTTAATTCTTGTTGTTAACACTGCAAAGATAATGTATTTCTCCAAGGTGAAAAATGATTACATTTAATGCACAAAATGATTAATATTGCAGAATTAATTCAGAAAAATGCAGACTTGATGCGGACTTAATGCACTTTTAATCATTTTGTACATTAAATGTAATCATTTTTCACCTTGGAGAAATACATTATCTTTGCAGTGTAATAAATTGTGGTGAGGTGTCTGGTGTGGTGCGACTGACTGTGATTTTGTAAATTTTCAATTTTCTTTTTTTGATCCCTGTACTACCCTTTGATTATCAGGGCTATCGGCCGGGTCGGATCAAAACTTAAACGCAGGCCTGCGCAGCCTGCGACTCCAAGGCAGTAAGACGTGTTGAGCTCTATCAAGCCTATGAAAAATGAGACTCTATGAGAGCCTCAGCCTATGTAGTCAGAAGAATTGAGGAAAAATTGGAACCAACGACATCAATTTTAGACAGGACACCGGGGTCCATGATCAGTGAAGTTCTGTTTTACTTGGCCTAAGCTCAGCACCACCATCACCGCCAATATCCACCTCTGCATCCAATCAAGAGCTAACCACACCAATATTCAACAGTAAAACATCAACTGGTTCACAAGAACCCTCAAAAATACTCCTGTTACAATTGTATTGTGATCTGTGTTACTTGGATCTGTGGTTTTATTTGATCTGAAAGTTGTACGTACCAGTACTGTTTTCTTCTTTCTGTGTTTCTTATCTTTGATACTAATCACCTTTTTTTTGAAACAACACACATAGGTATTGATTTTTTATCAAAGTGGCTTTTGACTTTATTGCATGAGATGCCCCCCAAACAACACACTTCTTGTGTCCCTTCAGGATCATCCTCCACACCTACTGCCAAACGCCATCGAGGCCCCAAAGAAACCCCAGAAGCTCCCAAGCAAATGGACACAGCCAGGCCCACAGCACAGCCGCTCAATGTGACCACTCCAATTCCACCTCCACCACCTGCCCCTGTCCTGCAAATACCAGTATTGGTCAAGACTGCTGAGGACAATGAGTCGGATGATTTGATTCATCCTGACGACAACCCACACCTCCCCCCAAGGAACGTTTTCAAAACTATGTTGACACATGTCACAATCTTTTTCAGGAGTGGGGCCATCTCAAGAACAAAATGACTGCCACATTTCTTCATTGTCAATATTTGACTAAAAATTGGACCACACAAAATAGCTATGATGACACCAAACCACCTGGAAGTAAACATTCTCCTCAAGATCACCAACCTGCGCATGATATTGATTTATTCAATTTACTTGGTAAGTCATTTCCGTCAACTATTCTTGCAACTCATACACTAGTACTAACTTTCTAAACAGATCACAAACTTGAATATTCAATTAGCATCTGCACCTGCCAGCCCAAAGCCATCCAACTACTCCGCCAAGGATACATAGCTAGCTCACTCTCCAGACCTTGTACAGCCTTTGGGATCAAGCTCATCCAATTCTACCATTCTTCATGGCAGACCTTGGGGACACCCAAGAGCGGCTTTATCAAAATTACCTTGGAATTTGTCCTGCCTCACACTCACCAAGACCTCGAGCTTGATAGCAATACTCTCAAAGTACCATTTTTCAACACCTTTGATTTATACATCCAAATTCTTCATCTTCAAGATTCTTGATTCTCTCAAGGTATGCTATATACAAAGGGATCCCGGTATCCCCACCACCCCCTCCCTTTCACAGCTAGTGAAAGCCTCACTTCCATTTTGAATGTTTTATTACACTTTATCCAATTCACATTCAACTTCATTCACATTCAACTTCATTCTCATTCAACTTCATTCTCAATCATCTTCCATTTCATTGATGCCAAACAAAATTGCTGATGGTGACATTTCAAGCAATTCATTGAGTCCAGAAGTTATGGAAACCAAGAAAGGTTCAATCACAAACCTTGCAAGAGCCTTATCGGACAATGGAATAGACCGGATTTCAGAAGCTATTCAGATGGTTGATTGGAGCAAAAATGAAGGATTGAGAATTGATTTGAATCAGGAAGATGGTGATATTCACAAGACTGCAAAGGATACATGGATTTCCACCTCACTTCAGAATAGATCTGCTCATATTTTTTTTGAGTGTTTCCTAGCAGGGATGTTAAGCATTTGTTTTCTACTAGAAAGCAAAGAAGGTACATGAGCTTTGTTTAATCATTTGTATCATCATTTATTCCACTGACTTTCGATCCCTTTTTTAAATATATAACAGGGTTTCCTGACTCTATATATAAATGGTTGTTGTTCCATTTGTTACAAGGCCTTGCCATGCTTACATTCACGATGAATTTCCATGTTTGGCCTACTATCACTATCTACAAGATGGTAAGTAAACATTTATTTTTTCATTGAGCTCAGCTACTCAAGAGATCTTTTCTTCCTTATTTTTTTAGTTTACTGCTCAATTCTACATTGCTTTAGGAGTTGGTTATCTTCTTGCTCATGTTTCAGGCCCATTGACTGCAATATTTTTAGTAAACTACTTTGACATCAAGACAAATAAATGCTCAGAAGGTGGGATTTCAACTATCAGATGCAAAATCAATAGTGGAACTCTTTTATATTATTTCATCATTGGATTTGTTCATGCTCTAGGAGCAGAGTTTTGGAAAAATGCTCAAGTTGATAGATTGAGAGATGGAGTTTTTCCGTAAGTTTTTCTCCCAGCCTCATGATAAATTTTTTCATTCAGCTTGTTTTCCTTCACAGAAAACTCTTCATTTTCATTGTATCTGGGATCACTGTCTATAGTCCACATCTTGGATAAATTATTGGATTGTAAGTTTGATCTTCCACTTCAATTGTATTTGAAATTATAGCTCAAGTGGATCATGTTCTTTGGTCATATCTATCTACAGTTTTATTCTTGTACCAGTGAGATTAATTGGTCTTGGGTTTCTTTCATTATATTGACTAATTTTGGTGGTGCTATCGTAAGTCTTTCTCTATTCTTGATTTTATTTCATCAATGGCTCATCAATCCTGTTATTTGTGTGCGTAGCTTGCTGGATGGCTTTATCAATCATTTATCAAGGCATGTAGGTATATTTGGAAACTTTTACTTCCCAATGTCACCACCAACATATTTACCTCGGATTTTGTAATCCGAGGTATCCTCGGATGCAAAACCTCGGACAGAAGCTTCCCGAGGTTTTGATCCGAGGTTATTTCCAGGGCAAAAAAATACCTCGGGCAAAAACCTCGGACAAGGTCTGTCCAAGGATTTGCCTCTGATGATGCCTCGGATTTCTCAACCCGAGGCATCTATGCTGGCAGTGTGTATCTCCTCTTTCAAAGTCTGGATGGGAAATGTGGTAGTGCTGTTTAGTTTCATATCTGTTGTTTCTGAATTTCTAGTTTGTAATCTATGTCATTGACAATTCATCATCATCATCATCATTGGAAAAACAAAGATTTCCCAATTAAAGGACAATTTGTTCTAATTCTCTTTTGAGAAATTCTAAAAACATATCTCACAAAATTGAAATCCAAAAAATCTTCAATTTCAAATATTATTAATCTTTTGGTTGGTTTAATTTAAGCACCAGTGAATTTAAGAACAACAAGTATAAAACAAAAGATGAGGAGTTTCAAATCTGATTATAAAACAAAAGATACAGAGTTTTCAAATCTTGATCAAAATCTTCATTTGGAAACTTTTGATGATGATCATTGATCATTGTATCATCAAAATAAATCCATTCATCCATGACTTGTTTTGAAACAGTATAATAAGCTGAGATAACAGAGAAAGAATTCATGATGAAATGAATCTCAACACTCTTATAATGCTATTCCTCATAGATCAAATCAAAGCATCGTAAAAAAATCTACAACTTCCATCATCTGATTATCACGAGTCCAAGTGAATAAAGCATGTATAATTACAATAACCTCCACAAGATCTACTTATACAAGTGAGCAACACAACACTTACCCTTCCTTAACCTTCATGACATGGTCGCCTAAACATAGTAAGATAAAGTTCAAAGCATAAACACTAAAATCATTCCGCATCTTTCATCATTCCAACCCCACCACTCCTTTTAACACGTTCACCCAAATCCATTTCACCAAAAAACACTTTCTTTTCTTGATCTCTAACAAATTTAGCTCTAGTCCCATCCCCAATCCCACCTGATTTAATTCGATTCTTTTCTCTTTCAATTTCTTCAACTTTCAATCTCTCTAAATCTTCTTGTTCTAACTCTTTTAATCTTTGTGATCTTGATTGATTCAAACTTTGAGCATTTGCTTGCATTGCTGCTAGTTTGGCTGCTTTGGATTCCGAGAGTTTGGAATTGGTTGAAGGTGTTGATCGGTTTGGTATTGTCTGAGATTGGGGTCTTTGTGATGAAGGTTTAGGTGAAAAAGATCTACCGGAATGAGGTTTGTTCGGGTAATCTCGCCTTGGTGGTGAGATAGGTTGGGTTGAATGAGGAACTAGTCTTCTTCGTGGTGGAGATCGACTTCTAGAGTTTCTGTTTTGATACCTTTCACGATTTGGTGGAGATGCAGAACGTCGGTGGGAGTGTTCGGGAGATAAAGAGCGTCGGTGATGATGATCAAAAGACGGAGATCTTCGTCTACGATCTTGTCGATCAGGTGACGAACGACGATGACGAACATCAAGAGGTTCTCTTGAATGATATCCTTTGGAATGATAACCATTCCTATCATCATATCGATCATCTTCGTATCCTCTCTTTCGATCCTTGCGATCCTCTTTCGCTCTCCTCCGTTTTTCCTTCTCAAGCCTACGCAATTCTTTTTCTCTCTTTTTTTCTTCTTTAGATGCTTTCTCAAGTTTCATAGCTTTCAATCGATTCGGATTCTTCATGGCTGTTTCTAATGCAAGTTGTTCTTGTTGTTTAATTGCTAATAATGGATCTTCTCTAATCTTTGATGCTGTATCTCTAAGCGTATTCGCATTTTGAAGTGAAATAAACCCTCCACCAGGTTTATCTTGATCCGCCTTATTAGCTCTTGCAGCCAACTAAAAAGAGCCCCAAAAACACATAAGAAAATCGTCTCTAATCGAACTGCGAAGAGAAAAAAATACCAACGAACCTTGGCAGCAGCTTCATCTTTCTCTTTAAACAATTTATCAACCGTTTTCTTTCCTAATAAATAAGCTTCTTGTTCTTCTGTATTCACCCCATTTCCCGTAGCAGGAGTGGCATAAAGCCAATCTACTCTTTCTTCTCTTCTACCACCACCTTGTTCAGCTTGTAATCTTTGTAATTCTTGTAATTGTCTTTCTTCTGCTAATTCTTTTTGTAATTGAACTGTCTTTTTACGTTCTTCTACCTTTTAATTCCCCCCAGAAAAGTTGAATTAAAACGTTAATGAGGTTTCAACTTTTAATATGAAGTTATGTAAAAAAAACTTACAGCTTTTCTTTCTTCTTTCCATACTCTCTCTTGATTTTTCATCAAGAGAGGATGCCAAGACTTGAAATCGAAACATACATTAAAGTTAGTTTGAGGTGTTTAGAGATGAAAGTAGAATGAGAGAGAATTAACCTTTTTCATGTTCAAGTCACCTCCACCCATCTTGTCTGATTTCTAATTGATAAAGAAGAGCTGGTTTTGCTGAAGTGATTATTGAGTGGTCGATAGTAGTGTTGGTAGTTGATATCGATTGATAGTGAGAGTTGAAAGAAAGTCAAACGGGCAACTCAAGTCAAGACTCTCACTCGACTAGTGAATAAGCGGTAGTAGACTATGTTTATATCGGGTTTCTACTACTCTAAGCCCATACTAACCACACACCGCCAAGATAAACCCATAAACTGCAACAACACCATCCAACAAAACAACCAGCACGATTCAACCCTCTCAGCATTTTCAAGCATCACAACATCACCTTTCAATAAATTCAATTCATCAAACTTATAAAACTGTTCAATACCATCCACATCATGTCTGGTATGTCTTTCAAATTTCTTTCAGAAGAAACATCGAAATGTAAACAAGGACCTAATTTGAATTTAAAACACTTTAGCAGCACCAGGTCCATCTCAACCTCAAACTCAATCGAACCCCAAAACCCAAAATGACTTGGATGATGACACAATAGATTTAAATACATTGAATGAATACGAAAATGAAATCGATTGGTTAGACGATCTCTTAAACCGACAAGACACAACCTCAACAACCAGCTCATCAAATCCATCACAAGAATCACTTTATAATCTAGACAAAAAATTATCAAAATTATTAATCTTATTAGAAAATTCGATCTCAGATACAAGTAATTTAGTTGAAACATCTATATCAGAAATCGAAACTAGTATACCAAGATTAACATTAGATTTACAATTGATGAGAGAGAATTCATTACTTTTAAGATATTCACTTGAATCTATTCAATCTAAATCCAATTTAAATCATCAATCAAATCAAGAGATTATTCCAAAAACTGATGAATTATTAAAAGAATCAGAAATTCCGATTGAAGAACCTATTGTGGAAGATTCAACTGATTTGATCTTATCAAGACTCAAAACATTAGATCTAGTGAAATCCAGAATGGAAGCATGTAGAGTAGTATTAGAAGAAGCAGAAGCATGGTCTACATTGGAATCAGAAGTTACAGGATACTTGACTGATCCAATTCCGTCATACTTGAAAGCCGCCGAAAGATTATCCGAAGCCAACAAATCTATGATAGTCTTTCAACACACACCTGAATATGAAGGACGTAGAGCATTGATGCGTAGTCTTCAAAACGAATTAGAAGCTTCTTTAAGTACGAATCTAGTGAAAGCTTTAAGTGAAAAAGATGTACAGAAATGTAAAGAATTTTATTTGATCTTTAAAATGATTGAACGTGAAGGTGAATTTAAAAATTATTATTTTGGTTCTAGACGTACATCGATTTCGAAACTTTGGAATGAATCTAAATTGATTGGACCGATCCTTAACTTTTCTAATTCTAATAATTCTTTGAAATCTTCAAATGTTCAAGAAAGTTTACCTATGTTTTTAAAAAATCAATTCTTTCCTAATTTTATTAAACTTTTACAAATCGAATTAAACTTTTTACCTCATATTTTCAATAATCCAATTCAAACTCTTTCAGCATTTATCAAAACGACCATTGAACATTTACAACCATCTATAGGAAGTCAATTAAATGAAATGCTAGATTCGTCTCATGTCCTTGCAGGTTTACCAGCTTTGATAAATTGTTGGACGATTACTGAAGATCTAGGTTATATGATCGAAAATTTAATCACAGAACTTGAAAATGTTATCAAGAATGATAAATCTGCTAGTCCTGCTCTTCCAATGGATCCTGTAGCTGATAACCAACCCAAAGCTCATGCAAGGAAAGCTTCAATGAAACGACCCATCTCTCGACGTTCTGGATCAAGAAGTGGTGGTGATCTCATTGTGTCTGATGGTACAATCCATAGTACTACGAATATTCCTCAGATCATTGAGACTATCACCGAATGGGAAATCGCATTGTACGAACCATTTATAGATTTTCAAACGAGTTATTATGATCGTGAATTAGAGTATCTTTCAGGTTCATTGATCAACTTGAACCATCAAAGTCTAAAATCCAGTAAGATGTTGGCAAATGATACGAATGCATTAACAACTCATGCTTCTAAGATCATACCAGAGATGTTGAACTCTTTGTTTAATCTAGGAGATGAAGCTATCAATCGATGTGAAGCTTTCACGCATGGTTATAGTATAATCGAATGTATCAATTCAGTAGATAAAACTTTGGCGGAATATTTAAATTCGATGACTACTGGATTATCACAAGAAAGAGAGAATCGAGAATTACGTAAACAGATTGGTAGAGGTCATCAATTGGATCCTAATGAGAATAATTCATTTGATCCTCATCATCATCAAAATTACAACGAAAGTGATTTATCAGACTTGGAAGGATTAGATTATTCTGGTGAAGATTGGGAAATGTTTCAAACTGGACTTAAACTGCTATCAACCCTTAAAACCACGTATACCAAAGTCAATCAATTTGAAAAAAAGACGTTGAATAGGTTAATTGAAATCTTAAGTAGATTGGTCAATAATGAACATGAAAGTTTAGGAACTATGGATGGATTGAAGTTTATAAAGATCAAGATGAGTAAAGGAGCTAAAACATTATTAAAAGAATCGAGATTGAATAGTAAAGAATTGTGGGATTTAATTGAATTGATTTTACCAGGACAAGGTAAGATAGAGACCACAGTGGGAAGAAAATCTTCAATTATTTTAGGACAGACTCCTGAACTTAATCCTATTTCTAATAAACTTCAAACTACAAGATCAAATAATTCACAAAATCAAATGACAAAAGATTTACCCAAATTTTATTTAAGTTTAGATCAATCCTTTAAAAGATTGATTAAAGAAACTCAAAATATAATTCAATCAGTTATACTTTCACCACTTTTAAAAGATATAGAAGATTATTCGAATTTGAACTTTTGGAATCAAACTGAACAACATTTAAAAACTTCACAACAAACTACATCAATTTCTACATTAGATTTAAAAATCTTAAATGAACTTTCTAAATCACCCAACGAATTGATTATCAAATTAGGTGAAGGATTATTGAACTTACCTAGATTATTTGAAATGATTAAAGAAGAAGAATGTAAAAGTTTAAATTTTATGATTAATTTATTACCTTTAATAGAACACGAGAATGAAGAATATTTGAAGAATTTAAAACATAACCAAGAAAATGATGATGGTGAATTTAATTTCGAATTAATCATTTCAACTTGGTTAACATCTTTAAGTTTAAAAGTTTTAGAAATCTTTTTAAATGAAGTTTTAGAGAAAAAAATCTTAAAAAAGTATAAGTTGAATGAAATTTCTAAAAACCAATTGGTGATTGATTTAGAATATTTAGGTCAAGTTTTAAAAGCTTTAGATATTGATTGTTCTAGCTTAGATGAATTTAAAGAAATGAATTTGTAGAAAGAAACATTGTATGTATTATTCCATTTAAATATTGAAATGTGTTGACAGTTATTGATTTTGTATGTGTTTTTTTGGTGTGTGATTTTTGTGGGCAGAAAGAGGGAATATTTTTGATTTTGAATTCAAAGCATTGAACAATTAGTGTAAAACAAGAGTTATAGAGTGAATTTGTTCAATGCCTGTCTTTGCATTGGTTCAGTTGTAATGAGTAATCAATCTAGTTCAATCTGAATTTTGAATTCCTTAAGATCAACTTGTGATCACAGTATGGAGCTCACTCGTATTGTGGGTTATTTTGGATAGGACTTCTGGGTATTGTGCAAAAGGTTAAGCTCGGATGGATGTTATGATACATTTTGTGCAATATACAATCATGCTAGATGATAAAATCAAGAATTTACAATGTGGATAGATAGTACATCTAGTATCAATGGTACAAATAGGAAATCAGGAGGGAGGTAGGAAGAAAATTATCAAGAAACAATCGATCTAGTGTTGTATTCTTCGGGATCCTAAGTACTCATGGCTGCCTTGGCTTTTTCACCAATGGCCGTTAATCTTGCGCAAGGATCATCAGATCCCGCATTAGGTTTTGGAGGAGCTTGAGGAGATCGACGAGCCAAACTGTGTGCAAGAATTGGTTTGAATGAGACTTAAAAAAGTTTGACATTAGAAAGCCGGATTGGAAAATAAACTTACGCTTGACGGGCTCGTCCTGAAAGTCCTCTACGAGTGGGAGCTTTGGTAGTGTCTTTGGTCGCATCGGCTGATGCTGCTTTGGCAGCTTCCATCTTCTTTAAGATAGCGGCGCATACTTTTGGATCCTTGTTTGCAACATCAGTTGCCGTGGTACCGGCGGAAGTGGTTTGGCGGCTGTTCAAATGATGCTCATTCTCATACACATCACGACGACTAGGACTCGGAGACTTGCCTGTAGGCGAAGCCTTGGGTGGAGCGATTGATGATCCGTTGCCGGTAGCGTTGTTTGCTGGAATGGTGGAGGTTCCGCCGGGAGCGGGAGGAGTTCCGGTGGGTGGAACGGTGGAAGATGCATTAGTAGCAGCGCTTTGGCGGCGGACCATGCTAGAAAAGGCAGACAAAGATAAGTCCCGATGTCTGATGTGCAGCGGTTTGTAAAATTTATTCAGTCTTACGTGTACGGGACCTCCATCGCGTCTCGACGTGTAGGTTTGGCTTTACCTTTAGGCGAAGGCTTTGGTGGAGCGATTGATGATCCATTGCCGGTAGCGTTGTTTGCTGGAATGGTGGACGTTCCGCCAGGAGCTGGAGGAGTTCCGGTGGGTGGAACGGTGGAGGATGCATTAGTAGCAGCGCTTTCGCGGCGGACCATGCTAGAAAAGCCGGACAAAGATGTAAGTCCCGATGTCTGATGGGCAGCGGTCTGGAAAATTTATTCAGTCTTACGTGTACGGGACCTCCATCGCATCTCGACGTGTAGGTTTGGCTTTACCTTTAGGCGAAGGCTTTGGTGGAGCGATTGATGATCCGTTGCCGGTAGCGTTGTTTGCTGGAATGGTGGACGTTCCGCCAGGAGCGGGAGGAGTTTCGGTGGGTGGAACGGTGGAAGATGCATTAGTAGCAGCGCTTTCGCGGCGGACCATGCTAGAAAAGCCGAACAAAGATGTAAGTCCCGATGTCTGATGGGCGTCGGTTTGGAAAATTTATTCAGTCTTACGTGTACGGGACCTCCATCGCGTCTCGACGTGTAGGTTTGCTTTTAGGTCCAGCTCCGGCTTGTCTTGCCTTGATCATGGCGCTAAGTTTGTCACAAGAATCAGCTGGAGCCTGAGTTTCACTTGTCGCTTTCTGATCTCCACCTGCCGGGGGGGCTCGGCGAGTTAAACTATTGGAAAGGCTGCGAGTCAATCTCTCAAACTAGTTGAAATGTTCACCTTCAAGAACTCAAGGACTTACGCATCGTTATGAGACTCAGAAATACCGCGGCGACTAGACCGCCCTCCGGAACCTCCACCCGTACCACCCCCACTGCCACCCCCTGGAGGACCACCTGCACCTCCGCCACCGCCTTGGGCCGCTTCGAGCCTCTTCATGATTGCTGCACACGCAGCTGGGTCAGGCTTCTTATCAGGAGGAGGTTGATTACTCGTAGGACCCGTAGGTGGGGCAGGCTTGGTTTGACGGCTGATTGCGGCGATAAGAAGACAAGCGGTGAATTTCGATGAAACTTGATGATAGAAAAATACAAAACTTACGTGACCAAGTCATTCTCAGTCTGTTGACTCATGGCCAATCCAACCGCTAAACTAGCAAATCCAATGGTGATTGAAAACCGCATGTTGATATAAACTAAATGAGTTGATGAAGGATTCAAAAACTAAAACGTTGATAGGAATACGAGTAAAAATGTGATATTGATAATTGATAAACTGCAAATTGAATTACCACGAGAAAAGTTGATTATTGAACAGAAATGGATATATATATACTGTGGAAAACTGATGATACAATCAAAGACTAGAAGATAATGAACAAAGGTTTGAAGATGATTTGAAGGATGAGGAGAGAGCGAGTGACCAACGACCGAACTTGATTTTATAGCGTTTTGAAAGTGTAAAACTTGGTGACTCGGCAGTGATCAACACCGTCCTGATTTCAAAAGCTCTCTTCATGCTGGCGTGGCGCCTGAGTGCAATGAATCATCGCTACATTGGCTCCGTGGCAGCGAGGCAAAATGTTGAAGATTGCGCAAGTCACCTTGGACGGATTCCAAACTTGAGGCTGGCCTAAACGCCCATCACACGGGGTCGTTAATGCGTTATTGATGAACATGACGATTATGACCTTCAGCTACTCAGCATCACTTTCCTGTCTGAACCAAAGGTCATAGCCGTTTTATTCTCAACTTAAGTTTTGTGTACAAATGAAGTAATTCTTCAAAACTGATCATGGTCGTCTTAAACACTTACGCCTTTTTAATGAAAATTCCACAACGTGAACCTTATAAAGATATAATGTATTATATAAACTTGAAAAGAAGAATCTATCATTTTATATCCAATGAAAAGTTACCAAAAAAACATACTGTACTTATTTAAAACATTTCTGAAATCTTATACAAAAATAATTCCAATATAGAAAGCTACAACCAACAACAATAAATGAAAAACAACATTGAAATGAAAATTAAAATATAGTTTTACAATTCTATTAATTATATAAAACAGATTGATAAAAAATAACAAACAAATTGTACAACTTGAAAGTTACAACATTGGAAAAGAGAAAAGTGGAAAGCAAAAAGCAAAAAACAAAAAACAAGAATTAAGATTGATAAACCAAAAAGGATCACAATAAATTATCATTTGAAAAATAAAGCTTCAAGTGTTTTTCCTGATTTATTTCATTGAGATAAAAAAGAAAAGAGAGAAATAAAAAGAGAAATCCTTAATGATTTGAATTTGAATTGACTTGAGTTAATTTTTTATTACATTTAATAAACTGAGGATTAATATTTGTCGAAGAAGTTTTCCACCGAAAAATAGCTAAGAGAAAAAAAAAGAAAGTGAATCAAACTGATCAATACCCTCAAACCAAAACCGAAAGAAAGAAAGAAAGAAAGAAAGAAGGAGTGAAAGGGATGACTAAACTAGCAGGATCAAGATTATTAGAATCATCAATATTATCAACATAAGAGTTCATCACTCCTTCCGACCTATAAATCCTTTCCAAAACACTATCAGCCAAGAACCCTTTCCATTTCGATCCTTTTCCAATTTGAATATCACTTTTTAAAATTTTAGATTGATTAATGATTGGTGGCTCTATGGAATATGATTTTAAACCTAATTTTATAAATGTAGGAATACATGTGTCTATCGGAGTCTGAAACGAGATCCATGGATCATTGAAAAGGGATAACAGTTTGGTGGCCCCTAGGGATGAGACTGCGTATCCGTGTAAACATAATGGTGAGGTTGATTTATGTAAATTTGGATGTAAAACTTGAGGTTCTGAAGATTTAAACAACAAAGAATTAAAACTCAATTAACTTTTTTTTCATCATAGATTCAAAGATTTACATAAATGACGATAAAAACTTACCAAAGATCTCTTTACCCCAACAATGACCTAAGAAAACAGTTTCCCAATCTTTAGGTAATCTTCTCTCGATAGTTCTCCATCTCCTTTCCAAATCCCATTCTAAATCCACATCGTCTTCTAAAACCAAAGCACTTTTATCACCAGATTCTTTAATCATTCTAATCGTTTTCAAATGATTATAAAAAGTAGAAACTGTTGCAGAATTGATTTGACGTTGAGGAATTTTTTCTTTAAAATCCCACATTGATTCTGTAACATTAAAGTTAGGATTCTTGGGTTTTAATTTGGAATGATCTTCTGATTTGATTGACCAAAGATATTCTAACCAGTTCATTCCATTTAATTCTTTATCAAATAAATCTAAATCAGGTAGATGAATATCTTTTAGAGAGTCTTGATTAGATAATTTCCCTTCATTTACTGTTAACCAAATGGACTCAACACCCATCCCACCAATTTGACTAGACTTCATTCCTGTATGTTTTTTGATATGTCTGATCTTTTCTTTTCTAATCTCATACGCTTTTTCGCTGATCCATTTAATTATATTCGAATCTTTCGAAGTAGCATTTATAAATGTAATTTCGATTCCTAATGCATTCGCAATCTTTTTCATTGTAATTCTTCGATCAATCCTTTCAGGTAACGAAATACAATAAATATGATCGAATCCTAGTGTTGGATGATGTTGATTGAACCCCGAGGGTGAAGTAGTTAATTCTAAGAACCTTCTGTAATTTAAACTTGCATCTTTTATTGAGTTTGGATTGAATGAAATATCATCAGATGTAGAAGTACTTTGTAGAAAGGATGATTGGAATTTGATGGATGATGTTGATGATTTTGTAAAATGTTGGTTTGATTTAAAATACGTTAGAAAGATTAAAGTAATAAATAAGATTCCTAATAAGATTAGTGATCTTAGACTGAGTAGAAATTGGTTTCGTAAAATTGAATTCAATCGAACTGCAATCATTGAAATCGAAGGATGTGGTGAAATGGAATTTGGTGATCGAAGTCTTGAATTTGAAGTTGGATTTGTGAAGTTGAGATTGAGATTGTTAATGAATGAAATGGGTATGAATTCTTAAGATTGATGATCAAAACATTGAACTTTCAAGATGATTGAGTGGGAGATACGAAGAACTTGAAGTGAAGAAAGAACGCGTTATGGGTTGGTGAAAATGCTGAGTCAAAATTGAAGTGGATTGGTTCGATGTATTGCAAGTGGTAAACTTGCTAAAAAAGGAAATAAAGACAAGTTAGTATCGAAATTAAATGATTAGCTACTTCACTTTTAATTTAACCAAAATTAAAAATCCAACAACCCCAACAATCCAGATACTGTCAAAACAATTCTCATTCTTCAATGCTCACGTTAATAAATAATTCCATTACAAAGTTCCTAATCTAACTATTTATGTACAACAAATTTCAATCTATCAAACAAAACATACAACATCAACATCAAACTCTAAGAATGTCTCATCAAGAATTCAACATCAAAAGAAAAGACCATTGAAAAGATAGATATAAATCTAAAGACATAACCCCCAAAAAATGTTGAATAAATCTGGTAAAACTAATTTCCGAACCCTTCAAAATCAAGAAACCTTTCATCTTCAAATTGATCCAAACATTTCAAAACCTTAACTTCAACCACATACTTAGTTTCATTCAAATCCTTTCCATCTACATCTCCATCTCCATCCTCTTCTTCAATTGCTTTCCTAGTTTCTTTATTTTTCGATTTCTTATTTCTCTCATTCTTTTTTTCTTTTCTTAAATTGCTTTTAATCATACATCTTTCTTCAGGTGTTAATAAACAAATCTGATCTAAATATCCACCTATTCTTTCAATTTGTCGTGAAGGTCTCTGGTCTATTTCTCTTGACCATCTTTTCACTTTTGGTTTCTTTGAAGGTTCTTCGGTATCAAGTTTTAAAATTTCTAGTGAATTAATTAATGAATTGGTTTTGTTTTCAAAAGTTGCTTTCGGACTATTGGTTTCACTATCTGATGAAACTGCTGAATCTCCTGGTGCTATTCTAATGGTCTTTGTCTGTGATACTCGGTTATTTAGATTGTAATTCGATAATTTAGATTTAAGTTTCTTTTTCTTTTTTCTTTGTTTGCCTTTGTCTTTACGTTCAGATCCAATAGAATTATTATTCGAATTATGATGTTGTATTGATTTACCCATATGATTTTTAAAAACTTGATGTATCAAAGACCTATTTTGACTTGAAGTAGATGTAGTTTGGATTAAGATTTCAGGTAATTGAATCACGTGAGAAATTTCAATATAACTATTTAATTCTTTTGCCATCTTATTCAAGTTGGATAAACTTTCTTCCATTTGATTTGAATTTAATCCAATCAACGTTCCATCATCTAATACTCCAATTTCATATAATGCGATCCCTCCTCCTTCTAACAATCTCCATTTTAATTGGGTGGTTAGTTTTTCAAATCTTGCTGGACTCGGTGATAAGATCTTCAACTTTTCAAATCGAAAAAGGAAACCAATATTAGTAAATCAGGTAACAAAGGGATCGAGTATATAAATGAGGGGGATTTACTTTGTATTCTATATGCCCATCTGAATCAACTTCAGGTTCGATTTCATTTCTCCATGACCCTTGATCTAAACTTAATCCATTCATTTCTCTTTCCAAAAATTCTCTTAAAGTTTTAGGTTTTGAATGATTTGAAGTTGATGATAATGATACTTTCTTCGTATGTTTTGTATCGTTTGAATTCCCATTACTATAAAATGGTGAAGGTCTTCTTGGACTTTCACTATCATCTTCACCAAACTGGTTTTTATCATCAACAAACAAACCAAGAACCATAGTTATATCAGTTGATTTCAAAGAAACAGAACAGGTTTTCAAATGAAATCTCAAAGAAAATTGCATACCATCGTCTGTTGATTGTTCAGGATATAACCTTTTGGTGACTTTACTTTGAATTAGTTCGAGTATCAAGTACTTGGAGTCCAGAGTACTTTGAATAAATAAGAGATGCGACCCTAGGCTCTGACTGTCACTGGATGATGACTGCGAAGTTGCAATTTGAAATCAACCCGATCACTTTCTCACTCTCGAGTCTCACTGACCCGATGATACATAGAGCCACGGTCCGGCCTTGGCCCTGATCCGACTCGAGCGAGTGTGTCGTGTTGCACAAGGCCAAGACCGGGGCTAAGCAGGGCCAAGGCTGCCAGGGATCTGTGAATATAAAGCAGCAGATTTGAATGTTCATCAAAGCTTGTGAAGACTAGAATATTCCCATTAAGGTGAGAGAGGTTCCATGCTTCTATCATTAAATTTACAGGAAGGGTTTATATGTCGTCTCCACCGGTGGTCGTCTCACCCTCTCCTTCCTTCCTTTTTCCAACTTTTCTTTGTTCCTTTCACTATCTGCTTGTTCTTATCATACCTTTTGATGTGTGCCAGACCATAACTTAACAAAGTCCCTCTTTTACAAACAAGGAGTTGAGAGAGGGACTTATACCTTATCCACAAAATTTGGTGTGTGAGCCGGAAAAGTTTGGCTGGGGACTTTCTCAACACTCCATATCTGCATACCCCACAAACAAATATCCTTGGGACCAGAGAAAAGAGCTGTGTTCCTGCTTGATGTACACACATGCGTGTAGGCTAACTCTTATTTAATTCAAAACTCACAGAGCCTTGCAGTTGTGAAGTTAGCAAACAACACCAAAATCACAGAGAAAGCTGACCAACCTGTCAAAAGCTCACACCAAACCCGCTGAAATGTTATACAAAAAACCAATTCTTCAAGGCTGTTATTCAGAGCTTTCCTGAAGCCAAGAGAGAAATTCAAAAGGACCATTATTTGTAAGTTGGCAGGCAAACAACTCTTTTCTTCGGTTCAAAGGACATTTATCCGTAGGATATGTGGGAATGGAGGAATGAAAAAGTCCTCAGCCAAACTTTTTGGCTCACACACCAAATTTTGTGTATAAGGTATGAGTCCCTCTCTTGACTACTTGTTTCTCCAACAAGAGGGACTTTTTTAAGTTAGGTCCAGACCTCTATTCCAGTGAAATACACCTTGGTAGAAGATTGGTTTAGGCTTTGTCCTGAAAGTTGCATCTCATTTCAAGTTGGGTTATCCTTGACTTTACACATCATAGTTGTTCATGTCAAGACAAATTTGTGATGGCCTGTGGGAGACTGGAAAGTGACCTAACTTGAAAGATGAGGGCTTCTCAAAAGCTCTGGGTGTGTTTGATGCTTTGTAGTATCATTGTTACTGCTATTGAGTTTTTGTACGATTTCTCTTGGACTTCTCACTATGTCTGCATTATCAAAGAGAGAGCAGGACAACAAATTAGCATACATCCCATCAACATTGTTTTTCAAGGTAGATCAAGGTCCTCTGTGGTGTGACAATCCAGACTCAGTGATAAAAGCACAAGGAATAAAGTGCTAGGAGCCTTTACATGAATAGGATGAAAATCTATAATCTGTGATGGTAAACCATGTAACAAAGATAAGACAAATGGGAAGATCTGCTGGTAGTAAATGAACCAAGTTCAATAAAATCCTTTTGACTCATAGATTTCTATGAACATGTGATGTATAAAACTATTCCCCAACACAGGAAAATAAAATATCTTTTCGGTGTCACACAGATTTCAATGTGATTCAAAGAAAGAAGGAAGACAATCTCTTTATAATTGTTCGTGAAAATTCAAAACGAATTTGAGATTCCAAGTTAGAAAATGATTGGAATGATTGGTAAGAAAGTGAAAGTGATACACAGGAAAAGATTGGAATATTTAGTCTACATATCATCAACATTTGATTGTCATCTTGGACAAACATTCAGTTATAATCATATTTCCAAAACCTCTTGAAGGAAATGTGATTTCTATGTCCGACTATACAGAAAGTTTGGCCCTTAAGAGAACCTATCTCTTTCTTAAACATTTGTTTGTACATTTATACAACGGCTGCCACAGGAGGATTCAATCTTGCATTCCTATACTCTCGAGCAATCTCTCCAACTTGACGCGCATAATATGCAGGAATCTGTGCCGCCAATTCCTTGAACGTTCCTTCTGATATATCCATGACTTCTTTTCTCTTTGATGGTGACAGTGATCTCACATACTCATCCCATCCACTTGGGAGATTTTTAGAACGCTCAGCAAGTTCTGCGCTCACCCAGCTCGGAATTTTTTCTCTCAACTTTGTTTTGAGAGTTTCAGTCGCTGTATTGATTTTGTTCTCTACAATGGACAAGTAGGGTTTCTTGTTTTTATATCCCGCGATGTCGAAGATGACCGTGTCTCGTTTTGAAGGATTCAAAATCAGCTCCCAAGCAAGCATCTTCATATCATTCAGTACACTAGATTGGCCTGCTACAAAAAAGTAAATATTTGAAGGCTCGTTAGTTAAGTCAGAGGACCATAACGGATCACATATTCATGAGATCAAAAATTATCTCATACCTGAATATGAGCGTTCGGAACACGATACGGGGTGTGTTAGTATTTGATTCTGCGAGATTGGTATGAAATTATTGGAAAAGGATCATCCAGTAACATACCTGTTTCTGCTGCTGCCCCCGTATCTGAGGGGACATTGCTCACTGAAAGGGAAAATGGTATGATGTGATTCAGTCTCAGGTTGGTCAAAAATGCTTGAGTGATACAAAAGATACAGTCAAAGGTAACTGATACTCACCATTTTTCCGCCGCATCATCTTAAAAAACCCTTGACAAAAGCTGACCGTAAGCTGTGCCAGTTTCTCAAGAAATTTTTCTAGGCCTCCCTTCAACGCCTTCAAGATTCCTACCTTAGGCTTGGGTTTAGGGGGTGAGACAGGTTGAACTGTTTTGAAAGTTCGAAGTAAAGGTTCGTATTCCGGGCTGTACATAGGTATCTGTTGTTGGGACTTTTGGCGAGGTTCTTCAATCACCAAAAAATCATCTTTTCCTGTCCCTTCGATGGCTTCTTGTTTCTTGGATTCGAGAGCGTCATTCACAATTTTATCTGGTTTGGTATGTCTCATGAAGCTAAGGATTGAGGTGGAACGATTGAATTTACGTTGTGGTACAGGTGAAGCGGGGTAGGAGGAAGCTCTCTCTCGACCAGTCAGGTGGGTGGGTGTTTCGGTAGTAAATGGTACCTTTCTTGGGTGATCCTTCTTTGATGTTGGAGTGTCGCTCACGATTCTATCCCGCCTGATGCCTCCTTCAAAGCACCCCACTGATTTAGAGCGTAAGAATTTTCTTATTGGCTTGAATGAGTCATTGAGCGTGGAGCCTCGTGATCGTTTGATCAGACGACGAGGCTTTTGAATAGTCTCTATCCGTCGAGGTCCACTTGCCTGGATGGGTTTTGAGTCAGTGCTGAGGCCCCAAACCATGCCCGTAGAGTGACTTCGAAGTACTTGAAAAAATATCATCCAAATCATCACTCCTTTCGAGAGAGTGAATAAGAGAAACATGATGGGCCGAGTGATATGCCTTCCCCCCTGCTTCAATGTCGTGGAATGTCTGAAATTACCTCCGACTTGTATCTTCGGGCGCGAACGCAATGACCAACTCGAAGTTCAACTAAATGTTGCGCGAAGACGGATTTTTGGGGACGAAAATGCCTCAGCCTCGAAAGTGATCTGAGTTGGACCTTGCCTGGACGATAATTCCAAAAGGATCTACGGGTGAATCCAAATCCTTTCCTAGAGCACACGAGGCTCCGTGGAATTACCTTACGGAGGCTCAGCGGTACTCAAACTCACGCTGAGTTTCGAATCAAAAGTGCGGTAACTCCGAACTCTGATCATATATAATTTTATGATTACAGATCACACTGCAGTGTAGGAGATCTGGATGCTCTTTCCCAGTTAGAGACCGATCGAGATGTCGCAGATGCGCGGGTACATGCCGTAGTATAGAATTTGTTCAGGGTGAGTCCCAGCTCATGAATCACTGACATCAACGTTTTCAAGCCGACTCCTGCGAAATCATAAATAGAGTATGCAGTGTACTTTGCATAGCGAATAAGCTGCGGTGCCGAAGGCAAGTTTCAGTACTTGTCACGATCACTTGATCATCGGACTCGCGATGAATTATTTCGGGACATTGAAGGTGCAACATTTCCAACACTGCATGAACCGGGTACAGTCTCTAAGTGTTCATACTCATCTCCACATGATGATAAGTTCAAACTCACTTTTGAATGTTTCATGACTCATGAGATTGACACCCCCTATGACCCATTCTTAAAGGATAATCGAAATTAGATCTGCAACCAGAAACACAGTCGTTGTTGAAGACGTGGCTTGGAGAAAAGAGTAGAGATGTACATATCTGCTTATCCTGCATTTCGTGCATTTTTTTGTGAAACGGGTAAATCTTGAACCTCTGTGTGCCTGCTGACTCTGCTGACACAGCCGTATCATACATGACCATGCAACACAACATTCTAACTCCTAGATGTGATGGAAAATTGGGAAATGTGATGTTATGTCTGTTATGTCACAAGCCCAGATGCAAGGGAAATATGGCGGTGCCGAGCGGGATTTCAAGCCAATACAAGTCCTCCTCGGGGAGGGGCGTCTTGGAAGGGCCTATAACAGATAGAAGAGGTTTCATAAAGCTTAACCCAAATTCCCAGTCAATACTTCAACTTGCTCGAGTTTTGCGGGCAGGATTGGCCAAGCTTTTTAGAAAGGTTCCTTTTAGAAAAGGCTGCATATCTGACTAGAGGGTGCAGAAGGTGCGCCACGGATGCGGCGCAGTGGATCTTGCGTCCCCCCGCCAGCCAAGTGTCCGTGACAAGATGGCGGTCGAGGTCGAGGAAGCTGATGTCAAAGTTCAAAGACCAGGTTCACGGTTCACCAACAAACCTCAAAGCATGCCATTCTGGCTCATCCCCTACGAATACGCTCCCTCAAGTTCTCGCGTCTCTAACGATTCGCAGCACTTGATATCCATCTCGACTGAACAAAAAGGACTTGGAGCGAAAGCCACCGAAGGGTACGATGGCCAAAGCTGGTCGCAGTGGATCCGGCAAAAGCTTCAGCTTGGAAACTCGAACAAGTCTAGACAGGCCGACCGTTCCGAATCATTAAGCCTGTCTCAAAAACTTTCGGATTCTTCTGGAATTTTCAATCAGCATCGAACTACTTTTGCTTTCATTAGTGGATCAATTTTCACTGGACTATTTATTTGGACGACCAAGTACGGATACAAGACATTCTTTCGAAGGATCTCAAACTCAGATTATGTCACCCCAAGGTTACTTGGGAGATCAACTGGCTCACGTGGTAAGGGTTTGACGATCAAGGGGTTTGTTACAAGGTATGGTTGATGTCTTACCTGAAAAATGTTTAAAGCATGGGTACTTTAGTAATAAGTTGACCTCGTAGTGTAGGTGACGCCGACAATTTCCGACTATATCATACTCCTGGTTTTGGTTGGAGTACATTTCGAAGTATACCAAAACAAAAACCTGGTACGCCAGCTGATTTTCAGTGATATAGGTCACCCAAATAATAGGGCTCATGTCGTCATTGTAATTTTGATAGCGCTCAAGGATCAAACCATTCACATTCGCTTGGCTGGCGTAGATGCACCTGAGGTTAGTTTGCGTGTTGGAAAGTTGAGCTACCGCGCAGTAATTGATATGTGCAATCATGCCGATTCCGATTTTATAGCTATCACATTTCGGTCACCCTGAGCAACCTTTTTCCCAAGAGGCCCTTCTTCAATTGAAAAAGTTGGTCGATCAAAAAACTGTAAAGGTTCAGATGTTGAGTAAAGACCGCTATAACCGCATTGTACGTGACCATTTCATATTGCTTTTCCTCCTCGTTATATATCCACTGACCTGTGATTTGAAATTCTTACGCACTTGTAATATAAAGGTTGGTATGGTCTACGTTCGAAGATGGTGGTGCTCGCCACTTCGAAGGAAAAATGTCAGCTTGGCGATGGTAGAAGCGGGCTGTGAGTGACTATGTTCCAAAGCTCATTCAGATTACTTGCATATCTCAATCAAGCTCGAACTATTTTTCCAAAGTGGCAACTGTGTATCGATCAAGCGGAGCGGAGCATGGAAGCATCTTGAACCAACTGACTGCAGCAGAAGCCAAGGCTAGGTATATCGATATTCCTTTGTACCATTGTCATTCCAAATATATCTTGGTATCTCATGAACGCTTGACCCTTATTTTCATTTGTGATCGCAGGAAAAACAAACTAGGAATGTGGTCTCAAAGTGCCAAAGATTTCGAATCTCCTAAAGACTACAAACTCCGCTTCTCAAAAGATTCGGGCTCTTCATAATAACAAAATTACTTTCAACTCAGCAACGTGACACTTCTTTAAATGATTTTGGAGGCAGCTACTATCTTATTGATAAACAGTCTGGTCGGCGCGTATGTCTCGGAAACGGCTGATTTATATATATACTGGATGGAGGGTCGGATTTTGTATCTTGTTCCTGTGAACATCCCTTACATTTTACATTGAATTTTCTCCTGTAAGAATAAATAGACTCAGTGAAGCCTGGATTTTTCGAACCTCGGCATAATCCAACGTGTCAAAATGATGCATATGATTTTGGTGCAAAACATCCAATGGTAGCAAAAGCCGGTTATGACAGGCTATTATCTTCCAGAGGATGCTGATAGTGTAAGCCACTGCCTTTTTGCCCCTGTAAAATAACGCAAGTCGACGTTGCAGTTACTCTTGAGCACTCCTATTCGAGTTTAATGAAGATATGAATCGTGATGGACCAAGTGAAAGAAAAGAGATGATCAGTGAAATTGTGGTGGAATGATTTCAATCAAAGGTGGATTGTTTGGAGCTGGGATATAGCTCAAGACCATCAAAGCACTGGATGGGGTTTTGTATCAGCCCCCATCCAGCAGACTGGGCTTGGGGTAGATATTCAGTCCAGGGCCAAATTTGGACTTTTCAAAAAGAAAGACAATTCGACAAGGTTTTATGCATATGCAGTGGTAATTGAGATTATACATCTCTCAGTGTGTCTCTTCTATTACATATGCACATTTATTAGGGATTGGGCGAAAAACCGACCAACAGGTTTCCAAACCCCATTCAATCGCTGTTCAAATTTTTGGGAACGTTTGCGAGATGGCTCGAAATCAATATCAAAGCCACACAAAACCAACAACAATTTTTATCCAACTTTTTGCTTTGCAGAATTGTTGACCGGTATGCTTGGTTGTGTGATCACGTCCATGCTTTAACCGTTCAAAAGCTCTTACAGGTAAAGTAATTTGCGGCGCCTCAAGCCTCGCAAACGCCCTTTTTGCACCTTTTACAGATCTGTGAAAGGTGCAAAAGCTTATCAAAAAATAACATCAGATCAGTTATGTTCAATTACTTGGAAGGATCAGACCCACCCAAGAGCTCAATTCGGGGATGCAGGTTCTGTGAAACCTGCGTCCAGTGGTTTTCCGCCATCTTCAACTCTTTTCGCGTAACTTCTCAATGGCGCAAAACCTGTTGGTCGGTTTTTCGCCCAACCCCTATTTTCTCTTGCTTGCATCATTCATTTGTGTGTCATTGGTACAACATCATGATAGATCATGATTCCTGAGTTGACATAAGATTATTTCTAATCTCAATATTGTATTCTTCATTAGGCTGACACCTTGAACAATCATGGATTGGTTCATTGTTCAATTTTAGGGCGCGTTCACTTAAGCAATTTCTGGTGAGAAATCACATTCTGCAAAATTTAAGGGCACGTTTGGTTGCGATTACAGATTGTAAACTCCGTTTGACCCCAGGTACATTGCCCCGGGGCAAATGAGTTTATTGTTTAAATCGAGTTTCTTTCAGATAAACTCCTTTTTGGGTACATTTCAGGAAATGTCATTTGGTTAAAGATCCCGAACAGACGTGTCTTGTACATAAACCTTCTTGAAAGGTTTCTTGCCTCCTCTCACCTCACCCCACTTCATATTCTACCACCTCGCATCCACCCATATGTACATCCTTTGGCGATGTCTGATCCAAGCAATGATCATGTGACATGACCTTTGTCACCATCGGCAAACTTTTACTTGAACACACTTGTTTTCGTTTCTTCCACAATTATCCTTATGCATTGCTAATCGAGAGGAATTCATAAATCACACAGAAAGCCAATTTAAATTACTCAAGACGACTTAAAGAGAAAAAATCAAAGAGAAAACCTATTTGGAACAAATGAAGAAGGGATATGTAGATCTAAAAGAATTGTGAATAAGATAAGCAATCAGATTCAAACAAACAAAAAGAAACCAATGAGACAGACTTGTCAAAAGTGTCCAGCAGTGTGGATTGTTTGAGACTACAAAACAAGAAGTGAAGAAATCGATTGTGCTGATTTGTAGGTGAGAAGAAGAAAGTACTTTGTGTATGACTACGAGTTCGGGTTACTGTAGCAGTCTTTCTTCTTCTCTTCTTCTGTTGTTCAAAACTGTGGTAGTTTGGATGGATCGACCTTCAGAGTACATGGTGCCTATGTGAAGTCAAATCACTTGGAAGTTTTTTTTGCTGAAAAGGTTGATTTGGAAAGTGGTTTGATGAGAGATAGCATCTTGTCAAAGAAGTAAATACATATTGGTTCGATGTAGGATGGTTGAAGTCTTTTGAGTTGAAATTTCAAGTACAAAAAGGAGTTTATCACAAGGTTAAACTCCATTTTGGTGTTTATCCAAAGGACCCTTTTAAACTCCTTTTGGTACGGGGAAGGAGTTTATTTCTGGGTACCATAAATGGTCCCAAACGTATTTTTTCAACAGCGATTATTTCACAAAATAATCGCTATTATTCAAAATAAACGCCAAAAATAAACGCTACCAAACGTACCCTAAAGTGTCCATTTGGTGGTGCATGTTTCATTTTTGCATTAAAAAATTTACAGAATGTGGTTTCTGGTCAGAAATTCCTTAAGTGAACACGCCCTTAGTGTCAATGGAAAATCACTTCCAAGGAGCAAATACCAAAGCCATCATTGACTGGGCACAAAATTGAGACATTGATCATTGGCTTATTAATATGACTAGTGGTTTCTTTCTTTTTCACATCATGTGCTTGTGATTTAAAATGCTTATCATGTCACTGTTAGATTTCACTATGATCCAATACGCTGTAACCATTGTTCTCTTACCTTTGACAAAATTAAATAGTCACAATCTTCTTTACCTTCAATTTGTTCCCATCCCTTGTCGATCAGTGTGCAGCTTGGCCTAAGCTGACTCCCTGGTACTCACAGGTTATTACCATTTGAAGTGCCACCAGCAATATGATGTTGCACCAATGTTGAGGTGATTATTGAAAGGAGATCATGTTCCTCTACACTTGCTGGCCCACCTTTCTTTTCTGATATCCAAGTATTCTTCCTTGTGTAGTAATAGTATCAACCTGAGTTAAGGCATACCTGGCCTGTCACTTACCAGAACAATCTTCATCAACCTACATACTTGTGTCTCATCTATACATTGTGTTAATCCTATTCTTCCTCTTCTTTAGCACTGCGGAGGTCAATTTTCATACACTGTAATTGATAAAGAGTTTAACAGTGAGGCAGCCTGTGAACTCTGAGTCTCACTCCTGGTCTCTTATGTTTTTCGAATATATGTTTATTCAATAAATATTGTAGGCAATGGATACCATGTAGTATAACAAATCTGACAATGCTATAAGTTCAAAGAAAATTAGTCATTTATGTAGAGTAACACTGACATCATGATACTCCACACCCCAAGCTTCCTTTCTTTGTGGATCTTGAAGCCTGCCAATAAAACATTCCATGTGATCAATTTGTAGCATTAAAGAAGGAGTTTTTAGGTCTTCATTCTTTAAACATCATCACCATACATCTTCATCAGGCCATGGTGATCTCTGAAATAAAATTAGTCCAACTCAGATGCCTGTGTTGGGATGTCACTTATTGCCCCAATATTTGACAAAACATGATCAAGACTCAATACCAGAAAATATCTCTCTGAAGGAAATCTAAAAATTTATTCTATTACATTTCTAGGTCAGCCACGTAACCCACCACCAATTCCAAGCACTACATATATACACTATACTATGACCTAATAGTACATACACTTGTTGTTGGGCTTCTGCAACTTTTGCATGAACAAAGTATGCATAGTCTGTGATCATCAGTCTTGAATTCATGTAGCCCATCCATTCCAGGCTCTCGACACCTTCAAGAGCAGTTCTCATCTGTTGATAATAATATGATCATTTAAGATCAGTTCTAAATTAAAAGTCAAATAAAACAAAACTTCCACAAACAAAGATCTCACAAAGTTCAACATGAAAAAACCTAATTTCACTTTTTCTTTTTTCCTTTTTTCTTTGTATTTCCACCTTTAACAACTCCAGAAACAGGTTTTGAAGAACTTTGTATATTAACTTTAGATTGATCTTTATTTTGATTATCCCCAGTATTTGAAGGTATTGTTACTGAAGTTGATTCAATTGTTGTTGACGGTTGTGTGATTTTAGGTGGTGTGAAGTTTTGCATTTTTTCTATCATGGTTCGGTTGAATGCGTCAAATCGGTTTAAGAAGACTGCTGATCGAGTTTTGAATTTCAAACACTGTGAACATCATCATCGAAGATTAGCTCAATGACTCTTCGTCATCCAAAAGAGATGGAGACGCTTGATGAGGGTAAAGGAGGTGAGTTGAAATCATCAAAGTATACATACTTTTGTATCATCAGTCACTTTTAATACCAACCATTTAGTTTCATGTCTCCATTTTACACAATATCGTACCTATCGATTCTCAAGCGTAAGGGGTATTTCATTAGCTATAGGTTTGAGTTCAGATTTGAGAGCATCCAGATTAGTTTTTTTTGCAGAGTTGACTTGGTACCTACCTTTTCAGGAGATTGAGTATATAGTTCCAATGCTGCTGAAGCGAAGCTATCCCAATTCTTGAGGTATACCATCTCCTAGTTTTCCAATCGATCTCGAATGGTGAATGGTGATGATGCTGATGATGATCGACGAGTTCTTGCTGAGGTTTGATTTGCTTGATAGTTTTGTGTGACAGTGTGTATGTAACAAAGCTTTATAGAGAGTATGTCATCGAAATATTCATGCTTATAATGAAATTCAGTCCATCTCCTGAGTCCTATGTATCAGCTTCAGTCCATTGCCCATTCAACTTGCATCAAGAAAACATCTCGAAAGGTAAGTTCCATTTCTCAATCTTCATCTCGTCATTTCGAAAGAAAAAAGGACATATCTAACATTTTTACTGTACTTTAGATTCATCTATACCAGACGCAAAAAAACCCACGGTGGACGGGGTTTCTGCATTTCTCCTATCCTCAACATGAATCGATACTTTACCGTGAGCGTCATGATTGTTCTTACTCAATCAAAGGCCTTCAAAGGGACTCGTTTCGAAATTGCTTACACCACCACCACTTGCGCTTCTTCCTAACGACCGGTTGCCAAAGGTCTTGCCGGCAAGGTCGCGTCTCATATCCGGATATTCACAAAATCACCCCCAGCTTGTGGTGGCAGCCTTGGTTGAGTTCCGTATTCAGAATATTTCAATCGGATCAAGAGGATATCATCATCTTTTTTTCAAGAAAATTGACTTATTTTCTCCGGTTCTTCCAGCCAACTTATACCAATTTAAGTAATTCGCGGAGTCTTCTCAGCCCAGACGGTCTCCTGAATATCCGCCACCCAACGCAATGCTGTCATTTCTATAGCTCTATTCCATCACATCGCAAAAATAATGAGGTTTCAGGCGATAATACTACATGTAAACCCAATTCAAGCCCAAATTCCTTAAAGCTATCAACCGATGCAAACCCGTCAGTAAAATCCTCCGCAACAACGGCCAAAACCCTTCCAGAATCTGTGATTAATCCAATAGGCGAAGAAGTGACCTGATTTCCCTGTTTTAGATCAAGTGTTTCGAAATTTGGTCTAAACAACTGAAATACAATGTTGTGTTTTCATGTCCTTATTAGGACCGGCCTAAAACCTTACGTTCTTCGCGGGTCCCTTCTTCGCGATTGGGTAGATTATTTCATTATGGAGGTTAGATCGTGCACTCATTTCTCATAAAAAAAATCGACGGCTTTTACAGATCAAACTGATTGAAACTCATTTTTTGTTTCAGGCTTAGCTGCAGGATTGAGCTGGGGAACCGCATCCGAGGCCTTGCGACGGACAAGTGGTATGGGATCATCATGTGGAGACTCCCAAAACTCACTCTTATTATCCGAAGCAAATGTTAGACGATTAGTGGATAAACTTACTAAAATGCGAGGTGCTGCTTTAAAGTTGGGTCAATTTATGAGTATCCAAGGTTAGTTTTGGGTTTCAATTCCTGAACAGGCCTTCAAAACTTTTGAAAAACTCAGTTTTTGACGATCCACTTCATCTTCTGTAAAAAAATACTTTCAGATGCCAAAATTCTTCCTCCTCAGATTGAAGAAATCTTTGTTAAAGTGCAAAACACGGCTGATTATATGCCATTATGGCAAACTGAGGTGTGTGACCTCTACAGAAACAATTTTCACGACATTTCAAAGATGCCAAATTGATATTTAATGACTGATGAGAAATACACTATTTGAGTAGCAAGTGATGAAACAAGAGCTAGGAACAGATTGGCGCCATCGCTTCCTAAAATTCTCAGATAAACCCTTGGCAGCAGCTTCAATAGGACAAGTACATTCAGCTCAAGCCATAGATCCAATAACAAAACAACCAATCGAATTAGCCATCAAAGTTCAATTTCCAGGAGTATTTGAATCAATTCATTCAGATTTATCATATTTATCAATCTTAGCATCTTCTTCTGCAATCCTACCAAAAGGTTTATTTCTTTCTAATACTCTTAAAGTATTGGGTCAAGAGTTAAAAGATGAATGTGATTATCGTAGAGAGGCTTGGTGTATGGGAATGATGTCAAGGTTTTTAGAGGATGATTCTAGGTTTAAAGTTCCTAGAGTTATTGATCAACTTAGCACCGGGATGGTGTTGTCTATGGAAATGATGCGTGGAACACCGCTTACGAGGGCTGCTCAATGGCCTCAGCATTTACGCGATCAGGTGCATATGGTGTTGCTGAGGCGTTCAGATGATGAGGTTCATCCTTGGCAGTGAATTTGATCCTGATGATCATGTTTTTTTCTTGTTTCTTATCACTCTGATAGATTGGACGCGATATATTACAGTTATGTTTACGAGAGATATTCCAATTCAGGTTGATGCAGACGGATCCGAATTGGACCAACTTTTTATGGAACGAAGAATCGAAACAGGTCAGTATATCTTACCAAACAAACTGTAGCTCTGATCTACTTTGAAAGCCATGATGTCACCTTTCATAAGTTAACAAAGCTGATCCGATCACTTTTTCTTTAGATTGAGTTAATCGACTTTGGCGCTACTAGAGAATATTCAGAACGATTTGTAGAAGAATACATAAAATTACTTCAATCTGGTGTTAACGATAACCGAGAAGATTGTGTTGTTTGGTCAGAAAAGATTGGTTATTTTACTGGTCATGAATCTAAAGTAAGTCAAGCTTAAAAGATCCTCTTGGCTACACAGCCTCGATTATCCCACAACACGGTAATGCTAAGCCACGATCAAGGAAAACCTTGCTTAGCTATGGGGTACTGACACAAATTGTGAACTATGTTTTGTAGGAGATGCAGGATGCTCATTTCAGGTCGCTGAGTGCATTAGGTGAACCCTTCCGAGCTAAGGCAGGACCATATGACTTTGCAACTCAAACAGTGACGGATCGAGTAAGAGCAGAGGTACCACTAATGATTCGAGAACGACTCACTCCACCTCCGATAGAGACTTACAGTCTAAACCGAAAACTCAGTGGAGCGTTCTTGTTGTGCAGTCGACTAGGTAGTCAGATTGATTGTCATCAGCTCTTACAAACTGTACTACAGGATCGTGAGAAATGGAAAGGTCCAACTGGACTTAGACAACAAAGAAGTTTAGGCGTTGGATGCTGAACGTTAGGATGCTGTTCTATAACTGACACAAAGACTAGACGTTGAAGAGAGTGCTTCAAGTTCGACTTGTATGTACAAATTGATGAACATTCGGGGGTTTGATATCTGTAAGTGGTCACCGATCCCACACCGATTCACAGCCATCTTGAACAAACAAATTTATATAAGACATGCTTAAACTTGTTTCCGAAGATATCCGAACTTGTTACAATATCTCGTTGTTTAATATATTTATTTATTTTAATATCATGGGCAGACAACCAAACAAACAAACAAACAAACACAAAGAGAGGAATTATATATCGTGTGTTGATTTTGTATAGATACATTTAAAGAAAGTATTGTGCAATTCGAATACTTTAGAGTAACTATAACAAATCATCATTTGAACGCTCGATCACATTTTAAAATTGCCGCCCCTTCATAAGCATCACCATCCTTAACTTCGGGACTCTTTCAAGTTCGTCACTTCACTCAACGCCCCCCCTCCTCAACTGACTCTCGGCGGAGAAAGTTTGAGATGATTGAATTGCATAAATTCAACTGGAATTTAAATTCAAATGCATTCGGATATGTTTCCGAGCTGTATTGATGATTTGTATACACAAATCACACACCGAGTGTTTCTTTCAGCCCTTGGTTTTTTTCAAGCCTTCAAAGCTCAAGAGCGGTGCTCAAAGCTTCTTGAACTTCCTTTGTGAGCTTGAATGATGGCAAACATTCGGAATTTCTGTTCTGTATGAAAATAAAAAATATGTATTCCAAAGAAAACAGCTTAAGTAGTATAAAACAGACAGAAAACAGAATTTATCAAGCTTATTATGTTGTTGAACGCGGGGAAAGTGTTGGTCTCAGAGCTTTTATTTGGTGATCGGGCTAAGTGATTCTTATACTTTCATAAGTCTGTTGTAACTATGCACCGAAAGCTTCAGTTATTGAGCTTGTAAAGAATTTTAATCAAAAGCTTCTTAGGCTGATCAATTGTAAATGTCGAAAAAATAGGAGGAAGCAAGTAGAGAACCATTATGCATACTTGCTGAGTTGCTCCTTTGAGTTCAAGTTCCCATCCATACATCCATCTGCAAACAACAAAAATATCAAAGTATCTTTTAGTAAGACCTTCGGCCTCCTTAACAAACTATATTCTACTTCCTAGAACTTCATCATATAACCTATTATCATCCTTATCCTCTGTACTTGTCTCTTCTCCACTTTTTTGATTTTAAAACTCATCATCCTTCCCTTCACTCATATAGATATAGAGATATATATATCATATATACTACACTCACGCTTTAAAGACGCGCTCAGATTTTTGACTTGTCAAAGTCTAGAGCTTGACACTTAAATTCACTTCAGATATATTTAAATTATATATCCTTCCTTTTACTTCCGCAGCGCAACTCAACCCTTTCACCTGCTTTACTCCCCCACACACACTCTCTCTTCTTCCCTCTCGCCTATCTACATATCTCTCTCCCTCTCGACCTCCTTCTGCTATCACAAACCTCAACTGTTTTTTTGTTTCTTCTGCCTGCCCTGATTCCGAAAACTCTTACTAAAAGCAACCTTTGACATCTGTGATCCCTAAGGCGCGCGCGGGGAGTTTTTTTCCAAGTGTTTGTGTGCGTGATCGGACGTAAAGGCATTAGTGAAAAAGAAAAGGGCAATTCATCTTCGAAGCGGTTGATCTGGTTTATTTTCTTCGGAGTTGTATAAAAGGGAAACTTTCCCATGGAATCAACTGGAGGCAATTGTCCTTTAACTCATCCTGGTCCACCTCCACCTCCGCCTACCTTACCACACCCTTCTTCAAAATCATTTCATCATTTACCTTCATCTCAAACTACTCGAAGACCAAGAAGTAACACCACACCTAATCATCGATGGACACCGCCGATCAGTCCGAGTTATATTCCACCCAACCCATCAAATCTAAAATACTCACATCAATCTACTTCTTTCGAAACTACAACGAACCCGGATACGAACAAAACTTTTACAAGTAGTACATTAGGAACGATTGACCATATTCGAAAAAAACTTTCAAGACCATCATTAAAAAGAGAAGCAACAAGTCCAGTGTATTTAGATGATCATACGATTTCAATACCAAGTATTGTAAATAATTCAACTCGTAGAGTTGCACCTTGTATGTCATCTAGATTGAGAGGTGGTGATTCAGATGTTGCATCGATTTCTTCTCAAGATGAATTTGAACCAAATCAAAATCATCAAAATCAAAAAGAATTCAAAGAGAAAGCAGTTAAAGAGAAGAAAAGAAAAGGGATTGGTCAAAGGAACAAATGGACTAAAGAAGAAACTGAAGCATTAGTTAGAGGTTGTAATACTGTAAGAGTTTTTCAATGTCATTTTTTTAAACGATGAGACTTTCATTGGACTGACTGACTGATTTGTGCTATTTCTGGATGGTATTTAGTTTGCTATTGGACAATGGAAAGCTATCAGAGATAATGATCCATTACTAGCTAATCGTTCACCTGGAGATTTAAAAGATCGATTTAGGTAAGTGTGTTCTAAAACAAAACAACATATCAAAGATTTTCAAGATAACCTAAAAATGTTGACGATGTTTTCTTCCTTATCATAATTCAGAACATATTTTCCAGATGCATATCGAAAACATTATCCGAATGCAAAGACTCATATTTCAACTAGAGTTAGATCTTTAGATTCACAAGGTAAATCACTTTTTAGTGAAGGTGCAGGTAGAAAAGAAAGAAAACAATTTACTTTTGAAGAAGATGAAGCTCTTAAAAAGGGTTACGCAAAGGTAAGATTGATTTTTTTGAAGTTTGTCTTTCTTCTGAGATACGTTTGACTGATTTTTTTGGTGTTGGATAGTTTGGTACTGCTTGGAGTTCTATACAACGTGATCCAATTCTTTCTTCACGTAAAGCAACAGATCTTCGTGATAGGTTTAGAAATGCTTTTCCAGATTTATAGTAAGTCTAAAGATCGATTGATTGAGTTCAAAATATGAGACTGACATTAGAATCAATACTTTCAGTAGTGCTGCTGCAGGTTATAAATCACGCTCACGGAAGGCATCAGCCTCAGATGTGTTCTCATACTTACCAAATGAAGGAAGCAGTACAACCGGTCCACATGGTACATTCGAAGCAATGGATGTGCCTGGATTATCGATTTATCCTAATAGGAGTTATTCTCAAATGAGACCAGATACTCGTTATGAATTTCCTTCACTGGATTTTTTAAAGGCCCATGGGGCCAATGCGTTTTCAGATTTTCGTGAAATGATTTATGGTGCTGGACAACTTTATGATTCTCAATACGCTATAGGTGATAGACAAATGATAATCGGTGCAATTCCCAATCATCTAACTAACAATACTACACCTAGACCGAATCTTACACCAAGACCGAATGATACTACACCCAGACCAAAACTCACACTTGATCAAGCTTGTACGAGTTCTGTGGTAGGAGATTCAGTACCGAACTCAGCTGAAGGAGACGAGGTTGCTTTAGGACTTTCGAATTCGATCACTGGATCTGTCTTTCGACCACTGCATAGAACACAAAGCTCCATGGATCTATCTCAATTCTCTAATCTTCATCTAGTAGACGCTCATAATCTAGTATCTCCTACTTCAAGTCAATTCTCAGGCAATGGATATCATCCAATGGATCAATTCGATTTCCCAGCTCCACCAGATATGACATCAAGTTCGGGTTCACCTTATCTACGTGAGGCTCCAAATTACTCTTCACCAGATCTTTCACTCCTACCAGATCCACCGAATCAAGCTGGAACAACAATTGAAGGATGTTATTATCCTCCAGGTCATTTATCAGATCCATCATCATCTGATTGGTTACCAGATTTCGATATAGCTTCACAGACTTTTCCTAGCGCATTTGGATGTGGACAAGGAATCATGAATTTAGCAGATGCAGAATCATCAGTTTCATCATTTCATTCATCAAGATCATCAATGTCAGATCCACTGCAATTGGATGAACATGATAGAGTTTTATACACTGTTCCTCAAGTAAACCAATCAACTTATTATGATCAAGTTGGAAATTCTAATAATTCTAACTCAAATAATTCAAACAATAATAATAATAATGGAATCAGTACAGCTGCAAATGGAGTACATGAAACACTCTTTCCTGGTTCTGATTCTTCTCCTTTAATTGATATGACAAATGATCGCAGTGGACTTTCGACACATTTTAGATCTAGATTAGCTTTTGAAGAAACTGAACCTGATCATTTAGTCACATCTGAAGGTTCATTCAATTAAAACTTTCCTTACTTGAAAAAGATTAAGGAAGATTTCATAGGGCTTTGGTTATAATTGATACACGACTTTTTTTCTTGGCATGAATTTTGATTGATCGATTGATTACACACGATTTTTTCTTCTTTTTTCATATGATTGTTCGATTTGGTTTGTTTAGTTATTCGATTTTTGGATCAATTTTTTCTTTTATGAACTCTTTTTTTTGTTTGGTGTAATGATGATCATGCCTAAATTTTTTCTAGGCTTCCTGAATTTTCTCTTTTTTAATTAATTTTTGTTCGAAAAAGGACTTAGTTATGTGTTTTCTTGAGACTCCTGGATTGTGCGGGGTTTTTTTATGTGATTTTCTTTATGATGTCTAAGATTTTTTATGGTACCATATGCTTCCTTTGAATTATGCTTTTCATCTATGTAGGCTTTCCTTCTTTCTTCTCCTTCTCAGCTCACAAACGAAAACGAGAGGATTGTTTATGGAGAAGTTTTTGTTTCTGTCCTTTGAACAAACAGCGTATGGCTCAACGCTGGGAGGGATGTTTGTTATGTTGGTTCTCCGTATTTGTTTGTTATCGTCATTATCATTATACATAGCTAAGCTAGTCATCCTTGTTTATGTTGGATTTTCATTGAGTTTTCTTTCGTCATCTTCATCATCCATGCATTCATTTTTTGTTTTGTTACAGCTCTGATAATTGATAATGAACACATGCATCTCCTTGTATCAAACTTATCAAAGTGCCTCAACCTCGGCATGGTAGATCATAGAGCCCATAGCGTTTGGTGAGAGTATCAAGCTGTTTCATCTTCCGACGGAATTATTAATGATCATATCACTAGCATCTCTTTCCACGTGTAAGATGAAGTTTTACTAACAAGTGTTACGAGATGAACTCATTATTTTTGGATCTATTTGTTGTAAGTCTTCATATTTCTGGCATACTTGAGACCAACTTGGCTCGCATCACTTCACCAGACCGCATCAAGTTTCACCACGACACATTGCGTAGATTACATTGAATACGCGTGAGCTATTCTGGCACATACACTTTGCACCACTTTGGATCAAACATTCAGGGGTACACGTACATCTCATTTCAAGTTTGAGCCGATGAGAAGAGTGTCGATGGACTCAGTGCCGTTTAAGCGTCATATCACAGCCGTTTTCTTCTAGGGCGCGGCGAACGCGCTCGTGGGGGCCTAGTCAAGTCTAGTTGTCTTTGCACTCGATGAAAGATGTGCGTATATATCTCCTCCCCGGCCACCCTACCGGCTCTCCAAGCTCTCCATCGCCAGTCTCTCATTGATAAATTATTAATCTATACCCTATATGAGATATATACTTGATCAAAAAAATAAAGCAATAATAAAAGTTGTACCACAGTAGGACTCTCATTTTCAATCACATTCGTTAAAAAACATCAGAGGAAAAAGAATGTTAATAAGGAATTCAGCCAAAGATGTGTTCTTTGTACTCAATTTTTATAACTTGATCAATTTTTGTTCAGCATTTATAAACTCTATACCAGATGATCCATTAATAAATATGTGGCATGGAATTGATTCAGCACCAATGATTGTAAGCAGTGGTCCTGGTAAGTCTTGATTTCAAAAATCCTCACATCTGTGTTTTCTTACGGGTGCGCGATAAGCTTGCTGATCCTTTTTGCACAACGTAGAACCTGTACTCGCTTCTTCATTCAAAACTTGGTCTCCTGTCGGTGGATGGATACCTGCTGATGCCTCTGCTGAAGCTGATCTCGGTGCATCATCAAGCCATGTGAACTCACATGATCACGAGATGAGTCTCATTTCCTCACATCGCCCAGAGGAATCCGCTATCCAATCATCAGCAACGACCGTCAACCCCTATGAATCAATTATTATTCAAACTCTAGATCATCTAAAGGAACCCAAATTAACTCATAAAGAAAAAGCTGCAGCTTATGCTCATCTCATGGAAATCTTGAGAGCAGACCCAGAGGTAAAATCTATCTTTATAAAACACGCTACAGATCCCACTAGAAGTGATGAAGTTTGGGAAGCTCAAACGCTATGGAACATTGCTACTACAGCTAAATCTAACTATGATGAAATCAAAAGCATAGAAGAGGTTTATGGATTAAAATCACCTTATCAAATCATAATCAGAAAGTTTTTTGATTTAGATGTAAATAATTTAAATGCTGTAAGTGATCTTAGAGCTGCAATTGATAGATACTTGGCAAGAATACCTTTGAGCGGCGAACATCCTAAAGCTCAAGCGCTCAATGAGATTGCCTCTCGCTTGAAATATAGTACTTCTCGTAAGTCGGTTTCATTTGTGATCCAAAATGAACAATTGAATCAAGAGACTGACTAACGCGTGTACTTATACCTCTTTAATCGCATTCGAATTTCTTTGGCAGATGAGATTCAAGTACCGCACCATGACACCTCACCAAAAGACACTCCCGATCATGAAGAGATTGAACAAAAACGGCTTGATCTCGTTAAACTAGCAAAAACTTTAAACCATGAAAAAAATTCTAAAGAAGCAGCATTAGAATCAAGTAAAAGAAAAGAATTAAGAGAACAGTATGTGAACGTTGAATCACAATGGGCATTACTTAGAAAAAAAGTCAAAACTTCGGAAGGCATGTTTGGATTAGTAAAACAAAGGTTCTCAAATTTAAATCGTGCAAATCATTTAGAGGTTCAAGAGTTTAGAGAACAAATGGAAAGACTACTTGAAAGTAAAGTCTTCATAGAATCCCATCTAGAACTTGTTCATAAGATGAGAAATCAACTTTTAGGTAATTAGGATTAATTTTTAACTGACCCCTTTCGAACAATATTAGCTTATCAATTCTGGTGTTGGAATTTGATTTATTTATCACAGAGGAAATTGAACGAGTGAAAGCTTGGGAACCAACACAAGGTTGGCAGGATCTACCAAAGGGTCAACAATCGACTGTGATAGAAGAAGCACTTCATAGAATCAATGACCCTACTATCAGTTTCGGTGAAAGAGGAATGATTTACAAGCAACTTTCAAGTTTTGTTGATCAAAACCCAGAGCTAGTGAAAGAATTCAACTCAGCCTCTAAACAGAAGGGAAATCAAGGTTATCTTACAACTTCACTCAAGGGAATACTGATTCGAGAATTACAGAATCCACATGAAACTCAAGATACTCGTATAAATATCTTACTTAGGAGGTTTATCGCTCTGAACAAAGGTAGTGCAGATTCTATAAACTCTTTACGAGAAGACCTTGAAAGAGTCTTGATTGATGACGAAAAACTCAAACGTGGTAATGAAGTGGATTCAGATGACATGGATTTTGAACACCTGATTACTTCAGAAGCAAGTAGTTCTTCTTCACAAAAAACTAATCTAGCTGATCAAAAACTATTGAGTATTGATGATAAGATTTTAGTACACAAAATGAAAAAATTATTGATCTCAGAACATTATCGTACGTATCTCTCAGCTTTTGTGATTTCTTGAACAAATTTCGTAAATTCTAACTTGATGTTTTTTTGATTGATTACAAATAGCTCTCGAAAAAGAACTTGCAAATCAAGCTGGTCTTACTTCTGATAATTTCATTGGAAAGTATACAGACCTTCTTAAACAGTCAATTCTAAAGAAGTTTGAACCAAGCAAGGATGAGAATGAAGCTAGCGCAAATATCGGAGCTCCACTTCTTTCTCGAAGAGCTCTTCACCTTTGAGATTATGAGCTAGGATTTCTTTAATTTCTTTGTATCTTTGAATTCCTTTGAAGAGCATATAGCGAATGTAGAAACTCGTTTGAGTTCCCAACAAAAATCCTGAGAGAGATGATGAATAGTTACCCAAATCATTTCCTTGAGGCACATTTGCCATGTGTAGCTTCACTTTAGCCTAACAAAGCCCTGCGGAACACGCGTAATGTATATGTTGAAGCCCAAGTGATGTCATAATTGGCTTACGTCTAGCTGACCTTTTTCACTACATACAAAGTGAGTGTCATGAGGTTCATGAGACCAGGCCCCAGATATAGAGCCAATAAGGTGAATTGATAGCATCTTGCAAGATCTTGCTATAGAGAAGAGTTGCAATACGAGTCCACGAAGGAAGCAACCTATACGGGAGAAAACAATATCCTAGAAAGTCATTTTCTAGAGTGCTTCCTGATTATGCAAATCAGCAGAGTTAGGAGCCTATGGGGCCACTGCAGGTACTTCATAGAATTTAGAAAGTAGACGTATACCGTGCATATTCACGAAGGGCGACGGCAAGATGTACCACCTCCGAAGCAGTCTTCCGACGGGGAAGACCTCGGTCCCGACGACGCGTGTGACGTTTGCGAGGTTTTGGACTCCAGTCTGTGTGTATGTTCCCTTTGTATCGACTTTTTTGAAAGCGTTTCAACTTCGGCATGGTGAATCATAGCGCCAATAGCTTTTGGTGATAAGTATCAAGCTTGATGTTTCGTTGTGCGACAGAATAAATATCAATTGCGTTGACTAATATCTCTTTCCGCATGTAATGTAGTTTTGCTAACGAGTGTTTCAAGATGGCGTAATTATTTTGGGATCTATTGGTTGCAAGTGTTCATCCTTGTTCATCTTTCAGGCATGTTGAAGACCAACTTAGATCGTACCACCATATCAGATCGTACCAGGTTTCATCCCAGCACGTTGCTTAAATTAATTAGGTGCGAGTGGGCAGTTCTGGCCCATATACCTTGCACCACTATGAATCAAACATTCAAGGGGTAGGTAGGTTTTGATCCGAGTATTGGCCGAACCGATGGCCTCAGGCTCAGTGCCGTTCAAGCTTCATATCTCACTTGTCGTTGTATTCCATAAATGCTGAGCTTCTTTGTATATGTCCTCCCCCTACCCCAGTAATCACTCATTCATCAGTCTCTCTTTAATAATTTAACATAACATATATACCCCGTATGCGATAAATATTTAATCAAAAAAAACACCGCAGTAGTCTTTCATTCTTTTCATCACATTCGTTCAATATAAACATTATACAGGAGAAAAAATGTTGATTAGGAACTCATCCAAAAATGTGTTCCTTACACTTAATTTTTATAATTTAATCTATTTTTGTCAAGCATTTATAGAATCTATACCAGATGATCCATTGATCAATATGTGGCGTGGTATTGACTCAGCACCATTGATAGTAAGAGGTGGACCTGGTAAGTTTTTCTTCTCACCTCTGGTCTCCCTTATCTGACAGCGCGATAAGCTTGCTAATCTTTTTTAAAAAACACGCAGAACCTGTACTCGCTTCTTCATTCAAAACTTGGTCTCCTATAGGCGGATGGAAACCATCTGACGCCTCTGCTGAAGCAGGTCGCGGTGCATCTTCAAGTCATGTAAACCCACATGACGAGATGAGTCTCGTCTCTTCACATCACCCAGAGGAATCAGCTGTCAAATCATCAGAAACACTCGTCAAACCCTATGAATCAATCATCATTCAAACTTTAGATCATCTCAAAGAACCTGAATTAACTCATAAAGAGAAAACTGCCGCTTATGCTCATCTAATGGACATCTTAAGACGAAAGCCAGGATTAGAATCTATCTTTGTAAAACACTCGGAAGATCCCACAAGAGGTTCTGAAGTTTGGGAAGCTCAAACGCTATGGAACATTGCTACTACAGCTAAATTTAGGGATGATGGAATCTCAAGCATTGAAGAGATCTATGGATTAAAATCGCCTTATCAAATCATCATTAGAAAGTTTTTTGATTTAGATTCAACTAATTTAAATGCGATAAGTGATCTTAGAGATGCGATTGAGATATACTTGGCTAGAAAACCTTTGAACCACAATGCTGCTAGAGCTCAAGCGCTCGAGGAAATCCAATCTCGCTTGGCAGCGATTACTCCTCGTAAGTTGCTTTTACCTTGCAGTCTAAGTTTATCAACTGACTTGGGAGACTGACACCTATCTTCATACCTCTTTTAATCCCATTCAAAACCTTTCCCATCTCATTACAAAGCATCACATCATGAGGTCACATCAGCAGAACTTTTCAAAAATGAAGCAAGCGTACAGTGGCAAGATTTAACCACACTAGTCAAAAACTTAAAAACTGAGGAAGCTTCCACAAGTTCAGCATTAGCACCTGAAAGACAAGAAATCCCAGGAGAACCTTCGCCAGCTAATTTACATTGGAGAAAGCTTAATAAAAAAATCAAAGCATCTGGACGTATGTTTTCAAATGTAAAAGAAAGATATTTAAATTTAAATCATGAAAATGATTTCGAAGTTCAAGAATTTAGAGAAAAGATTGAAAGATTAATCGAGAGTGAAACTTTGGTTGATTCTCATCTAAAGAGTGTTCATGAAATGAAAAATCAACTTCAAAGTAAGCACTCTACATGATTCCTTTCGAACACACACATATATACCTAAACTTATCAATTTTAATTTTGATTTTGGCCTTGTTGATAGAGGAAGCAAAACGAGTCAAACTTTGGAGACCAACACAAGGATGGAATGTACCAAAAGGTCAAAAATCAACAGTGGTAAAAGAATTACTTCAAACAATCAATGATCCTACCATTAGTTTCGGAGAAAGAGTAGTGATGATCAGTCGACTTGATAAGTCTATTGCTAACGATCCAGAGCTAGCAGCTGAATTAGAATCAATCTTCCAACGAGATCTTACAAATCCAGGTTTATTTAAAGCAGATGTATTGATCGGATTAAGAAACACACTCGAAGCCAAAAATTCTCAAGTTCATGTTTTAATGAAAAGGTTCATTGCACTCAACAAAGCTTCAGCTGATTCTATAAATTCTTTAAGAGAAGATCTTGAAAGGATTTTAATTAACAATCAAAGGCTAGAACATGATAGTCAAGAATCAGAAGAAGAATTTCATCTTACAGCTTCATCTACTTCTGAGGCAAGTTCTTCTTCACAAGCAATGAAACCAGAAGACGAAAAACCATTGAGCGAAAATGATAAGGCATTAGTGAATGGGATGAAAGAACTTTTAATCTCAGAACATTATCGTACGTAGCATTTCCCTCTGACCTTTTTCCTGACTTTTGAAACGTCTGAGAAAAAATAACTCATAACTTTTTATTTGCATTTGCTCAATAGCTCTTGAAAACGAACTTGTTCACGAAGCTGGTCTTGCCTCTCATCCTCCAACTGAAGAATTCAAAGGACTTGTAACAGATCCGAAAGATGAAACTAAAGCTAGTACCAGTGGTAAACATTCTCGAAGAGCTCTACATCTTTGAGATCATGAGCTAAGACCATATCTGAATTAGTTATACAATCATTCCTTTGAAAATATTTGATTTTCTTCTGTGGAGTAATGCACAAACGTCGTGGATCACCCGTTCTAATTTTACTGTGATGTATGTACATATTGAATGGTTGTTTAATATGCAAGCATTGAGACAGCCTTCGCTAGACACTCTTTATCTATTCATATTCTATTTCTGAGTGATGCTGTGAATGATAGGAACGCGTTCAAGACCCTTCAAAACTGATGAGACTCAAAGTTATGAGAGGTCGTTGAGTGAAAAATGCCTGAACCCAAACATATCATGAATGTCACCCACGATAGCGATCACTGGCTCATGACGTGAGCTCAGCATCGCCAAACGTTACGAGCATGTTCAACTTCAAACCTGCGCACTAGTTCTCAACTGGTTCTCAGTTCTCGCAGCTCCACGCACTTCTCGTAACAGACAAGTGCCATACCAGCGCCTGTCAGCAATTACAAACCTGAATTTGATGTAAGGTTTATGAAGCCTATCATGACGATAAGATGAAATCCAAGGAAACAAAGTGTTTCATCATGTTAGGTTGTTGTTGTAAATAAATCATCATTCGACCACTTGGTCGAAGGAAATTAAGAGTATTTAAAGACTAAACCAAGGAAGAGTTCAGTAGCATCTTCTCTGAAAGTCCTCGAGAGTCTCTACAATCAGTGTGTAGAGGAGTGAGAAGGAACTTCCAAACACCTCTAAAACGGTTGGTAGAGTACATGTATTTTTATATCTTAGCTAGAATGTAGATGCTTTTGAATGATGAGATGCACAGTCTGTCAGCCTCAAGTTACCATCTAAAAGTCTCGTTGCTCCAAAGCTGTTGGTGGAGTACATCTTTCTACCTAGAATGTAAAAAGGTCTTTGATCGCGACAACTAAAATATTACCTACCATGACAGCCTCAATGTATGTACTACCTAAAAGTCTCAGTGGCTCGGTGGCTCAGTGACTCCAACGATCTGACAATGATAAAAAATACCATTACAACACCATCTACGTAAACCTATATATACTCCCCAAATTCTAATACATAGCTTACAATTAAAATATTTCTTTTTACAATTCAATTCAATCTCTTGATCTTCAAAATCATATTTCGTCCCAAAGATCTCTCCCACAAAATTCACTTAAAACCAAAGCAAAAAAAAACCAAGAATAAAAACTACAAACAAAGGAAAAAACTGACAAAAACCAACAATCTACCAAAAAAAAACCCCGTCCCCTCCCAAAACCAAAGATTTCCACAAATCAACCACCACCACCAACATTTCCAGAACGATGATGATGATTACCTTCAACTTGTACTTGTACTTGATCCACTTTCATTTGATTGATTTCCCTTTCTCTTTCTTGTAATTCTAAAATCCTAGCTTTTTCCACTGAAGTCTTAGGCATGACCGGAAAGGAAGCATTGACAAACTTTTCTTCTTCTTCTTCTGGTACTGCTTGTGGATTAGTTTCTTTAGATTTAAAAGCTTCATGTCCATGATTAGAAGGCCAATGAAATCCCCATTCCATATACTTTGGTCCTTCATTCGTTGTAGTCGTTGTCGTTGTAGTTGTAGGATCATCCGCTTTGATTCTATAAGTAGTAGGTTCACCAGACTGACCTAATTCACAAGGCGGACCTAATCTCGTTAACCTATTCAAGATCGTAAAGGTCTCATTCTGATAAGTTCCACCTTCTTGATCCTTAATCATTTCAGAATCCAAACTCTTAAAGATCGTAGGAATCAACGAAGGGATCCTACTCTGAGAAGGATGAATCAATAAGTTAGGTGATGGAAACTCAATCGGCACCGACATAGTCAAAGGTGTTGGTAAAGGTGTATGACCAAACGGTCTGAGTTCTGGAAAGCCTTGAGGATGATCTGGTAAAGGAACAGGAGGATGTGGGATCCATCCGGCTGACCATCGATTACTTCGAATCGATTTAATCGGGATATTGGTAAACAAACTAGTATTGATTTCATTGGTTTGAATCGAATTTAAATACTTAAGTCGATTTGGATTAGCTTTTAAGGTAGGATTCTCACTCCGATTTTCTTCTAAACAAAACGAATAAGTTTCTTGAAAACATTCCAAAGTACTATCAAGTTTGATTTTCTTCTTTTGAGGTGGTGATGGTAATGTTAAAGAAATTGTTGAAGAAGATGGTAGTCTTGGAAAAGCTTGAGTTCCATATTGTTCGAATAATTGTGATTTCGTATATGGGATTGAAGTGGTGTAAGGATCTTGTTTAGGTGTTAAAGTCGATTCGAATCCTATTTCAGCTTCTTCCACTTCCACTTCCACCACAATAGGTTCATCAATCAGATTAGGTTCTTCTACTTCTATTGAAACTTGATTGATGATTTTTTCTAAACCAGGTAAAGGAGGAAAATAAGCTGGAACAAAAGAAGGGATATCATCAACTGATCTCCAACGTTCGATCAAGTTTTCCGTCACAGTGGTGGAACTGGTGTTGGTCGAGGTGGATGGTTGAGGTTCGATGGTTATAGTAGGTTCTTCAATCGGTTTAAGAGATGGTAATTCTAAATCTGAATCTTCTTCTGATGAACCACCCGAAGAACTAGAAGCAGCAGGACTAGGTGTATCTAAATTCTCTTCTAAATCAGTTTCACCTGCTTTATCTAATTCAGCTACTTCTGAATCAGTTAGCGGTAAGAAAGATAAAGAAGTAATCGGATTTAAATCAATTGAGTCACTATGATTAACTATAAAGAAAAGAAAAACAGAATCAGTTAATGTAATGTAAAACAAACGCGTCCAAAAGTTAAAATCGACCAAAAAAAGTTTCTTACTATTTAATTTTTTTGATATCGTAGCAAGTTTCAATGGTTCATCATGTAACAAATTAACATCCGAACCCAAATTTAAATCCTGACGATTTCTCTCGGTATCACGAAAAGATTGATCAGAATACTGATCAAGACACCAATTATGTAAAGAAGCCAAAGCTCCCTTCCCCCCAATCTCTTCCAAAACCCCCACCAAATCCCAAGCATTAATTTGATTTCGACCTGAATGATCTGCATGAGATCTAGCCGATTCGGCCAAGAGTTGTAAGTAGCGTGAAGTGATTTGTGTAAAGGTTTGAAGTGAGACAGATTTGATTGAGGTGAATTGGGTGGAGTTGGCTATGATTTGGAGCGTGGAGATGGCTAGTAGTCTTGCGGGAAATGCGTCGGGTTCGGTGCTTTGGTTTGAGGATGTGTTGAATGAGGTGTTGGATTGAGTCATGATTGTTTGATTGTTTGATGGATTGAGGTCGTGACAGTGTTCAGAAAGTATTCAACAATGATCTTGGAACTATCTATGGGTTACTGTCATGGGTTTATAAAGTGTGTCATACTAAGTCAGAAATTCGAATCTAAAGTAGGGTTAGGTCCCAAATGAATACAGATATTAGAAATTTTTCAATGAGTTTTTTATTTTTTATTTCAATTGAGTGGTTTTTGAGATTTGAAGTCCGATGAAGGATATTTGAATCGGGTTGAAAGAAGAAAGTTAAAAGTTTTTTTTTTTTGAAAACCGATTCCTTCTCAACCACCAAATTTTAAAAGTAAAAATTCTGATTCTCTCCATCAAATCCAATCCAATCCAATCTTTCTACATCCATCTGATTCTGACCATTTCTGTTTTTTGATTTTGAACTTTGCTGTGATTGTGTGTGTGTGTGTGTGTGTGTGTGTCTTTGTGGGTGTACGTGAATTGATTGGGTGGGTTGATTTGATTACCGTTTCTTTATTAAATTCTATTAAACTTTTGATTTCTTTTGATTTGGTTTGATTTAATCGCTTCAATCATCGATACTGACTGATTCACTTTTACGGTCTTCAAACTTTTATTTTATTTTTTCAATCCACAGTCTTCTTTATCGATTCGATTCATTAAATCTCAAAGGAAATCAACTTTCGACCTTCACTAGCAATCTTCAATTAACATCATGTCAGTCTTTTTCATTCATTCAAACCAACACTTCTTCCATTTGAAAAACTCTAATCTTCTTTCTTCTGGTCATCTCAGGTCTGACGATGAGCAACACAACCAAACCTTTGAGGCTACCGGTGCCGGTCAGTTCTCTTTTCGTTTTTCCATCCTTTATTTCTTAATCCAATCTAACTCCGATCTCGCTCTTGACTTCCAAAGGTGCCTCTTTGACCTTCCCAATGCAATGCTCTGCTTTACGTAAGAACGGTCACGTGGTCATCAAAGGTAGACCATGCAAAGTAAGTGTCAATCACTCGATCCAAAACATCAAAATCATCATTTTAAAACCCTTTGTTTTTTTCATTAGATTGTCGATATGTCTACCTCCAAGACTGGAAAGCACGGTCACGCAAAGGTTCATATCATTGCGATTGATATCTTCACTTTCAAAAAGTTGGAAGATATCTCTCCTTCGACTCACAACATGGATGTTCCTAACGTCACCCGTAACGAATACCAACTCGTTAACATTGAGGATGGTTTCTTGAACTTGATCAACATGGATGGTGGTATGTATCTTTTGATACCTTTGCCTTCGGTTCTTGAATTGACTCGGTTTCTGTGTTGATGGTGAATCTTTTCAACCGAATAGCTGCCAAGGATGATGTCAAGATTCCTGAAGGTGACCTTGGCAAAGATCTCCAAGAGCAATTCGATGCCGGAAAAGACGTATGTCAAAAAGGCTTCTTCTGGATCTCATTCGGTGATCTTATTGACCTCTCTGTTCTTTTCTTTGCTTCATTCTTCCATTAGCTCTACTGCACCATCACCTCGTAAGTCTTCTTTGTCACCTTTGATCGCGATTTTACATTCAATCAAACTTATTTCACGTTCTGTTCACAGCGCTATGGGTGAAGAGATGTGCCTCGCTTTCAAAGAAGCCCCAAAATGTAAGTGTCTCAATTCGCAAACTCATTCGAAGCCGACTCATTAACCTCTTGCTTTTTCTTTCTGCTACTGTTTAGCTTGATTTAATACGAATTCCACCCGAAATAATTACCTTTGTTCACCTTTGAATTCTATATATAGTTGTTACCCCTCTCTCTGCTCTCATCTTTCCCTCTCTCCACATATGTTCACAAAGTCATTTGTTGTTCTTAGCTCCTACTCTCTACCTACTTACTTACATTGTATGTCGATCTCTGCACACTCTCTTCAAACCAACCCGCTCCGCTTCTCTAACCTCTTTGAGCCCCTCCTGCACCCACTCACCCCCCCGAACTCAAAAAAAAGAACCTTCACTTGTTATTGATCTCTTACCTTACACCGTTTATTACTTCTCATCTATCTTTTTTTTTGTTATGAGAGTGAAGAAAGAGTGTGTTGCCAAAAAAAAAAGTGAAGATTGAAGAAATAGAAAGAATCATTTTAAAGACAGGCGTTTGTTACAATCATGATTGATTTTTTTTAGCTTTGATTCTTTAATTCATTGATCAAATGTTTTTGACAGTTTTTCTGTGAGCTTTTGCCTTTTGTGAAGAGAGTTTATGATGAGTTGGAGATAATGCACCGACCCGGTCCGCAAAACCCGATCTGGTACCGGGACCGGGACCGGGTCGGACGGGTCTCGGCTAAGATCTGGGTAAAGCCGGGTCTGCCCGGCCATATGTTAGGGGGCAAATTTTACCAAAATCATCTTAATTTCTTCAAGTATCATATATATACAACAAATTTTTTGTCTCTTTGTTGTAGAATAGCTGCTGGATAGCTTCAGCAAAGGCTACAGAAGAGAAGAAAAATCGAAAAATCATATATTTATCATATATTTACGTTTTTTTTGGTTTTTGAGCATATCACATCACTGGGGCTAGCGGACTGGGTCGGCCCGGTCTGAGGGGGAGGTTGGCCCCGGTCCAGCTCAGATTCATCGGGTTGGGGCCGGGTCGGTGCATTAGTTGGAGACAGTTGATTCTGAGCTGGAATTCTTCAATAGATTCAAGGTTTACAAGATTTACTTGTGGTCTTTAACCTTCTTTGTTATTCAGGATGATCTTTGTTGGGTTCACATGAGGAATGAGCAGCTTGTATGTCCAACTTCAATTTGTCAAACACCAGAAAAGAAGGTGAAAGCTTGGAGTTTTGTTATTCGAAGAAAATCAAATTAGGTCTTTGATTTGCTTTGATTGAAAATTGAACAACTTGAAGAAGCTATTTAAAATCTTTTAGGTAGATAGAAAAAAGGTTGATCTACTTATTTACATTGAATCTGATTTTGAAAATCTTTATATTTAGTTAATGTTTAAATATCATACCTCTTGTTTTATAATTCGATTTCAAATCAAAAAAAAAGTCAAATAAAAGTTTAAAAAGTTGAGGATTCCATTAATTTCAAGGATATTAAATTTTTGATTTTGTATATATATACCAACACATAATTAATCAGTGACAGTATACATTCAAATCCAAAAGTTATATTGTATGTCATGTCAGCAACATGCACACACAACTGTAGACAGCTTTAAAAGTATTTTTGGTAGGATTTAGATTAAGAGATTTGGTAAGTTTGGTTTATGAATGATGGTTTGGGAATAAGATTTATTAATAGATATGGTCAATTGAATAAGAAGATCTTGTTTTGAAAAGAAGAAGAGATACTTGAAAAGAAGAAGAGATACTTGAAAAGAAGAAGAGATACTTTACTTGTTGTTGGGAATATACCTTTAGGCTTTTGAAGGGTGTCTTTTGAGTGTTTATGGAATGTCCTTTTTGTGTGTGGTTGTTGATGATATAGGTATGGTGATGTTTAGGAAAATATGTTGAGTTTTGGAATGGTTTGGGTTGAGATTTCTTGTGATTGATTTGAAACTTTTACAGAGTCTATATGAAGATAATATATTGAAGAAAAATGTACAACAGTTTTCAGTCATGAGATTGTTTTGTTGTCATATCAAAAAGGGTAGAATTTACGTACCTTGAAAGGGTTTTCATTCAAGATTTTCTCAGATCATAAACCTTTGATAAAATCTTTTCAAGAGTTTTGATCCAAAAGAATATCTTAGGGTATAATCCTACCTTGGATAGAAAGCCTAGAGAAGATCTCTTTCACCAAATACCTAAGGGCTTGTCTATGATGATTGATCCCTTGGAAATTTGGTCACTAGAGTTATGATGGGGTTTTAGGATTGGATAGAATCTGATCTGACTTTTTTGTTGATGGGTAGGAATGTCTAATGGAGTTGAGATCTCCTTTTGGGTCTTGAATTCAACTATTGTAGCTCAAACTTGTACATTTCTGTAGAAGAAAGACCTCAGAAAAATGATCATTATTCATTGCTTACTTTTTTTGGTCAAGGTTTTAAAGAAGTTGATTGAATCAGTGACAGAACCAACCATTTTGTTTTGGCTGGAATTGAATTTAATAATAGGTATGTAAATAGAACCTTTTCTTGTTACAAAGCCAAGTTGGATCACTCAATTTTATGATCACCACACAAATTGGTCCTTTAGAAAACAATTCATAAGGCATCGGCTCTTCCACCTCAACAATGGCCATTGATGCATGTGGCAGAAATGGTCAATGTTATCATCCACAAGTACATGGCTGTCTGATGGACACTTTGAGGCAAAACACATCAATAAATCCAGGATCTTGGCAGCTTAATTAATATTGCTTGTCATCAAGCTTACAAAGATGGAAGGCTTTATTAGAAGAAACCGGTGCAGTTATTAGGCACCCAGACACCTACAAAGCCATTGGAGCTCCTTGCTTGATGGATCTTGATGAGCACACTGTGCTAGCTCATCTAATTGACACTGATCCAAAAATTTATCAGGATGAGTTGGCTTTAGAATTCTTGAAAGAAACTAGAACATCTGTCTCCACCCCAACCATTTTGTGCAAGATGAAGAAACAGCTTGGCTTAACTCAAAATGTCTGACGGAGTATAAATCCAAATCCCAATTGATTTGGGTAATTACATCAAGTTTGTGTTGGAGATACAAGCTGATTGATTAATTTTTCTTGGTGAGTTCTGTCACTTTATCTTCCTGAGTTTCATTCTAATATTTCTTCCTTTTTTGTGGTAGATGAAATGGGTATACTTTATAAATAGGCAAGATATGTATGATGGGGTGGGCTCCTATAGGCAAGCAAACAGATCTAATGGAGAGAACTTTGGTGGGGACCCATCATATTGCACTTTTGCTTGATGGTTGCTTGGCCTTACAAGTGATGAAAGGAGGGCCTTGGTAAGACAATTTTCAAGAGTTTCTTTGAGTACAATTGGTGGGTGTTTTACTTGTTTTTTATTGACTGAGCTGACTGTTGAATTGTGTCAGATGCCCATGATGAACCCATGGCCACAGAAGAAGTTGGTTCTTGTCATGGATAACTTCCCAATCCACATGGGTCCTGATACTGGAGTCATCTGCTTTGATCAATATGTTATTTGTCTATCTACCCGCATATAGCCCTTTTATGAATCCAATTGAGAAGTTTTTTTCTGTAATAAAAAATCACTTCATTTGTTATTTGTTCCCAGGAGTCATATTGAGATAACTTGACCCAGTAAGGAGAGATAGAGCGGATCTACCTCCAGATCATTTTTCTGTCACTGTAGAATTCACAAATTGAAGATAGAGCTTTATAAGGGATCCAGATATCTTTAAACTTTATCTCACATTATTTCATTTATTGCAGTGAAGATATTGGTATTCATTTACTTAAGACACACGGTGAAATGAAAGATTCATTCAACTTTGTATTTCACAGATATTGAGTCTTTTGTATTATTTGTATTAACACTTTTTATAATGAAAGTTGAGCACAATGCATAGTACACATTCTGAATAAGAAGTCACCTTGATTAGACTAGTGATAATGTTGTCTGTAAATCAATACATGTGCTTGTTATGATTAGTAATACATCACAAATAGTGTTTTGTTTTTTACATGCACTGTGTTGTTCTGTTGTGTTTGCTGTGTTGCCCTTACTCTATTGTTTGCGTTGATCTATGCTGTGTTGCCCTAACTATGCGCTTTGCTGACTGACGTCATTGATATGTTTCTCTGAGCTGACCAATGTCATCAATATGTTTCTCTGATCTTATATATAAAATCATCAACCCTGAATACTCATAAAAAACATTTCATCTTTGTTATTGTTTTCTCTCTATTGTTCTTTCTTCTGATTGTTTAACCAAGTTGTGTCAACTCTTGACTTGTTCTATAAAACTCAATACTACACAACAAACATCTTCAACCAAAAAGCTAAAATCTAAATCAAACTCAAGCTTTAATCAAAAAGGAAAAGAGGTATAAAACATCTCCTAACTTTTTCAATCTCTCAGTTGTTAAGATGTTTTGAAGTTTCTTTATCTAATCTTAAATTGATTCATTTCATAAAAATGTAGACTTTCCTTTCGGTTACATTTGTTTGATTTAAAATTTGTGTTATAAAGTTGAATCTCACTAGTGTAGTTATTGTCAAAGGTACAAACCTCCTCTTTTATTTTCTCTATTTAAAAATGTGTTACTTTTTTACTTACAAAATTGTTATTGTCAAAGAGATTAAAAAATATATGTTTTGTCCAAAATAAAAAGAGATCCTACTATTCCCTACAGTGCTGTCCCAACTTTTAAACCATCATGTTTGAAAGTTTGCGCATTCATAAACTTTGCTTCAAAAGCTCTCCAGGTCTCGTAACCAAGGTCTTGAACAATTTGGTGAGCCAGAGTTTTGGGCAAAATTTTGGTGTAGTTGAAGGAGTGTTCCAATGGGGGGGTCACAACACCACAGTCATTGAGATCAAATGTTCCAGATATTGGTGGGGCTGTGGCTACTGCTGAAGTACTTGTTATTGGATTCATTGAGGCCAATTGAGTTAGTGGAAGTTCACCACCCTTAACTGCACACATAAAGAGTTTGGTTTTAGGAGGGGTGAACTTATTGGCACCAAAATCCCCCTTGGTCTAATTGTTTGAATTGAATGACAAGCAAATTGAGATGATGATATAAATTTAAAACAGTGATAACACTCACAATTGATCTTGCCCAGATTGTGAGAAGGATATTGGTGAGTTGTAACGTCTTTACAGAGTTGGTGAGATCTTGATATACTGCACCATCACCCGCAGCACTGTGCTTTGCATGAAAGGTTTGAAGATTGTCTATAAGCTGCTGTAGTTGCCCTTGAAGTAAAAGCGACTAGATGTAATCAATCAGTGAAAGAATATCAAACAGACTTGAGCTTCCCTTACCTCAATATCTAGTGGCCTCTGGGAAGCCCAGGTTTGGCAAGTGCAGGTGTATTATGTTGTATTATCAAGCTCTGAGTCATGTTCTCTTGCTGGAAAGAGAATAGTTCCAGAAACAGGATTCTTTGAATATGATGATAAGATGATGAAGGAGATCTGTTAAATTTTGTAAGGCCCAGAAACACAAGGGCTTTCCATTGTTATACTAATGGAGACCCCAGCTATCTTGGATTGATTGTTGTTGACCAATGAATGAAACATGACCCAGCTGTCTTCTTGAATGGTATTGACTGTTTGAAGAATCTTTTGGTTGTATTTCACACATCCTCCCACAAGACCTATTCATTGTTCTTCCCAGTGAGCAAATGGCAGGAATCACTCAGCAACCTCTGTCACCTGAGTCCTACAGTCTTCCCATGTCCAGGTTATTGGATCTACCTTGAGGGTACAATTGGTTGTTCTCTTGTCTTTGACTGAGTTCAAAGTGTCCCACTCACAGCCTGCAATCACAAGTCACTGGCAGGCCAGTGCATCCCACTGACCTTAAAAAGTTACAAGAAAGCTATGAAGTGGATATCAAATGGATATCATCCATTTATTGAGAATTTGTTGAGAAGTGGTTGGGATACCACCAAGATTGAGATGATGTCATATGACTTCATAAAACTGTACAGAACTGCTCCTATATTTCCCCACCAAGAATATATAGTCTATCAACCTTCATCATGTAAATTGACTGAGTTATTGAGGCTTGAAAAAAATCATGAACAAAAAATACTATTTTTGGACTATAGGCAAATCATGAGGGAACATCATGCCATAATCAGTCTTAAATTGATTGATTTACATGTAACTGGTATTTTCCAAAAAAAACTGCCATGAAATTTGCCATATTCCTAGAATGAAAGGATCAATCAAAAAATGAAAAAATGACTGCTCATGTACAATCCACAATTACCCCCCTTTCCAATCCTCACAACCTTCAACAATGTTATCAATCTCGAGCTCACAAGCACTATTGTAGCATTACTTCTTACCTTATGATAATCTTTTCAATCATGTGAGACATTGTGAGTGCTCATCCAAGAAGGAAGGCTGATGAAACATACAGTTGTCAAATCCTTTGTAGGTACACATTCAAAGCAAGACTTGTGTGAGACAATTGCAGTTTTGTAGGAAAAAACGATCCGTAGATTATACATACTCTTTGATACATGGTAATATACCTTTACAGTAAGTCTGCAACGATTATTTACTCTTGAGCTTACTTAAACCTATGATATATACAATCTAGAGCCTGGGATGGGAAACCTTTGAAAGTGCATTCATATATATCTTGAATGATAAAGGGCCAGCTTGGATTAGATTTTGAAAGGCCTTATAGCTGAGATGATTCAAGAAGGGTATGCGGTGAAAAGTTGTCTGAATAAATGCATATGCGGAATACGAGTTTGTTGAAAAGGTTTACATGAGATATCTCCAAGAGCAAGCACAGCAGATAGAAATTGACATGATGCTTTCAATCACTATCGTACTCTGTGAGCATCTTGATAGGTTTACTGCACTTCTGTTCAAGCTTGGTTTTTTTAAGGGTAGGCACTTTGAGGATAGAACTGGATGATGATTTTGAGAGTGAAGGCCGGACAACGACATGAGATGAACCAAGTGAAGAGCGAAGACGAGAAGGCGCAATAGATCGAGAAGACGAAGAAGATAAGAAAGGATCAAGAGTTCTTCGAGTGTTGGTAGTCAATCGGTCTTGTAAACTAGCCAATGGAGTTGAAATGGTTCGAGCTCGTTTATTATTTAATGGAAGACCTATTTCAGCTTCCAGTCTGAGTCGCTTTGCTGCTGTCTTTGCTTGCCCTTCACGAATCAGAACCTTTGCTTTTTCAGCTTCTTCCAACAAAAGTGGTTGATCTGGTTCGTCTAGTCTGAGATTTGATGGTAAGGAATACCGATTACGAAGTGAATCATCACTTCTTGATTTTGCTATCAGTTCTGCCTTTTCTTTCCGAAATGATTTTCTTAGTTTTTGACTCAAGACTATTAAAAGGTAACAAATATTTTATGATAAGTTTGAATCGGACTAAAAGCATTCGAGGAAGTTTTGAAATGATACGTACCGAATGGATCAGAATTCCTTGATTCACTCAGTTCATAAAGATCTTCAAGCCTATCTTTGGTTGCTAAAGCAACTTCTTTATCTGTTGTTTGTTTCTCTACTAGTGCAAACGGATCTGAAGGTCCAGCCTGAGGTTTTCCTAAACCAATACTAACGCAAAATCAACCTTTTTGCTCATATAGGAGTGAGATCTAGATCATTCGTCAAGACTTACCGTCTAGGACTACTCCTCCGTTTTCGGCTGGATCCCAGTCTTCATTCTTTTGCCGCGCACCACTTTCGACAACGTATCGTGTGTTCTGAAAAGTCACATTTTTGAGATTTCTTCAGGATAGGTAAAATAAGGCTTCCAAACTATTTGCACTGTAGACGAAGAACTGACTTGTGGATCTGTCCGGATCTCGAACCCTAAATGTAATATGAAATGGTGTTGGTTCAGTGTTGAGTTTCTTCAAACTTGTTTGGGCGTCAAATTACGACAAGGTTTCAATAAATCTTCTGACTCACAATTTCCACACAAATGACATTTACAACGAAAGCTATAAATCGGAGTAGTATAATACATTCCAACTTTTTTCTTCTCTGCATTATACCTATATAACAAAAGATAGCCAAGGGTGAGTAAATGTCTGGAAATAAAGTTCATATGAGGGAAGATTGAGCGTTCACCTTACTCCCATTCCAATATGAGCTTCGCAAGATCCACACCAAATGTTAAACGGTAATTCAAAACGAGTAATTAGAATTCCTTGATCGATTTTTCTGGCTCGGTCTCCCAATGCGTGTTTTCCATGATAGTTGTTAAGTGTATCATGCTTCTTTGGATCAAAGTCAGGTGGAAAGTATCGATTGAAACCTTGCATGGCGAGATGAGTTGTGATAAAGTACAGAGGTGTGGTGTGATGAGTTGATGCTTGGTGAAGTGAAGTGAATTTGTCAAACTGCGTGCACTTCCTGACCAATCTCAAGTACCGTAAAATCGTAGGCGTCGGGTCATGAGAACACGGGGTAAATATGTGCGGGTCAGTAAAAAACACGTCCCCAGATGTCTGAATATCGACATCATTGACAGTTGGTGGAGGCAATTGTTTCTTTAAAATTAGTCTCACAGACTATCCAATTCCTCATTTTTTTTATTGAAAAATGCACATCATCACCTAACTCACTCTTACTAAAATATTCTGGGTCACCTTTGATTTTATTCCAAGGTTTTATTACTTATCATTCAACTTTTAACATAAAATGATCATATACTTGTGCTTCTAATTTATCCCTGTGATCTGAATTGATCTTATTTATCACCCCATCCTTCCTTGATTGAAATGAGGCAAAAGTAAGAATGTTTCTAAGATCTGAAGAGTTGTGAAAGGAGATTGTTCAGTGACACTGACATAACTCAAGTTGCAAGTGAGGTCTTTGCCTCTTTTGCACTCTTGACAGATCCTGTTCTGTGATTTTTGAATCCATACAACCCTCACTAATCAACCTCCTAATCAGCACTATTGAAAACTTCAACTTACTTCTTGATGTAACTCTGCTTGTGTTCCAATAAGCCATCAGATTCATGAAAGTCAAGTATAAGATGTATTTCAAAACTAGTCACAGATACTCTATTTGACATAAATGGTTAAGAAGGAATATATTACGGTAGTCATTTCTTCATATTTGCATTCATGATCACAGGGTAGTTTGTCATTTATAATAACTCACACTAATCCGAGACTAGGTGTGGCTTGTGAGAGAAATTTATGAGAGAAAAGTTGACATGCTACTAATGGCTTTTTGTTTTACACGCACTGTGCTGAGCAGCAGCCTTAAAGAATTGAATGGAAAACAAATCTTGATACTTATTCCTTCCAAACATGACATGTCTAATCTAGCACATTTTCAACACTTTTGGTTAAACCTAAAGCATAACCATATCTGTAAATTGTTCATAAGTACCATGAAGATGATTCCTGATTTCACAACAAGTGTGCTTAAAAATACAAATGGTAAAAATGAGAAAAAAATCTTCAACATAAGAAAAAAGTAAAAATCAAAAAGTAATCCAATCCAAAATCCAAATCAAAACTTTCATTGAGGACTTGAGTTTTTCATATCTGTTGGACCGATTTCTTTTTTAGTAGGTATAGGTCCTAATCCCTTTGCCATTTTTTCACTTTTAGATTTAATGAATGCTTGCATATCTTTACATGCATTTGGATCCGTAGTAGTTTGAGTTGAAGGATCAGCCCGTCGGTTTAAACTGATAAATAAAATCCATCTCAGCTTTCTGAAAAAAAACACAGAGATCTTTTATTCGCAAAGGGAAGACACGTACTGAGAATCGGGGTTCTGTGTAAGCTTCGAACGACGGGTTGCACCAGCAGGTTTTGAAGTTGAGGTCATCCCAGCCTGTGCTCCTTTAGGAAGCACAGGAGGGGGAGGAGCTCCATTACCTTTGGTTGCCGCTTCGCTCTCTTTCATGGCCTTGAGAATGGCAGCACACGCTTTGGGTTCGACAACGTTTGGGTATCCAGTTGTTCCAACGCTTGCCGGTTTCCCAGGAGGAGTAGTTCCACCGTTACTATCATTAGAGGTGTCAGCTCTAGTTATCAGTCTGAAATGGAATGAGAGTAGAGATCAAATGAGTATCACGGAGATCAATGTTTTGTATATGTATCACCACACCAAGTTTTTACTTAAACAGATATCTTGCTTACATTGGAAAATCATCCCTAGCTGATAAACCTCGAGCTCGATGTCCACCAGGCTTCTTTACTGGTGGGTTTCTAGATTTCATGAGTAAAGAAGAGTGACCAACCAATCCGAAAAAAAACAGGATGTCATCAGTCAAAATCCACAAGTCTTTTAATCATCAGAAGCTCGTCTTCAAGGGAAAATCTCTTACATAGGTTCGGTTCCATCATGTGCATCTTTTCCATTGGCGGCGAGTGAAGATTGAACCTGGTATTGAGACAAACAGGCTCCTAAAAGTACGAAGTTGATGGTGAGGGTGAAACGCATGTTTGAAGTATTTGTAAAGCTTGATTGGATCTGTAGAAGGCCGAGCTGAGAAACAGATCTTGAAGTAAAAGAAAGATATCACTAGGAAACGAAAAAGAGATATATGCACACAGATGTAATGATAATATGACACGAGCTGAATCGATCAATGCCTCGATGATGTACTTTGAGAAGAAAACCGAGGTTTACCTAACACAGGTTGAGATGCTTTATAGTCCTCTCACTCTTGGGCACACTGCCCCTACAGGTGAAATCGAGAATCGAGCCACGCTGAAGCCTCACTGAGATGAGAGCAAGGCAGGGGCCGTTGATCAATTCCATCTCTCTATCAAGGCCATGGTGATTTATGTATCAAGAGAACATCCTATCATTCCACAGAAGGCAAGTTTTTTCTCAATGTTTTTTGGTCAAGATTACAACAACACTTTTGCACTAACCGGAAAGCTTCCAACATTACAAACACTCAATACTATGGCTGCTGTTGACAACTTAAAAGTTCATCAAATGGATACCTTAGGGGCTTTTCTCAACAGATTTCCGGAAGAAACCACTATACGAATAAAGATCCCTGAAGGTTTAGAACAAAAGATGTTTCCTCAACTTCAGTATTAGTTCTACATCCAGCAATTCATAAGTCTTAAGTAAGCGCGCCGCCAAAGGTTTAGTATGATTATCTGAAACTATCTTTCAAATCAATTTCACATATGCCATCTACATCAGCTTCATTCATCTTAAAGGGTCTATCGTGCAAATGTTATGTTCATGTTCATGTCGTTAATATGACTGTTGCCAGTGACAATTTTGCATGTTTTTGCCATCTAATTACTCAAAAGTTTCAGATGAATGGAGATATCGATTATAAACACATTGAACATTAAAAAAACATGTGGTCTTTGTTTTGATATGAAGGGTATGTGGTATAATGAACATGTACATAGCAAGAGAAAATGTTTACACAGAAAGATCAACACATATATGGGTACAAAATATTGCTACAATTTTTACTTGGGGTTAGAAGTTTTCGAATCGGTTGAAGGATTGTCTTTCTTGCTAGTCACATCTCCCGAAGTCATCTTCTTTAAACTTGCAGCCAATTTTTCTCCTTGAGCTTGAACCATTGCTTGCATTTCTTTACATGAATTAGGATCCACATTAGTTTGTGATCCAGTTGAACTTGCTGGAGGATCAGCACGGCGGTTCAAACTGATAAGAACACCCAAGTTCAGTAAATTGATCAAACAAGAAAACAAAAGGAAAAATATTTAAACAAAACACTTACTCAAACTCATGAATCTGGGCGAGCTTAGAACGACGGCTTGATCCAGAAGAAGATTTTGGTGAAGAAGATGGAACGGTAGATGGTCGTTTAGCAGCAGGACTTCCTGCTGCTTTTGTCAATGCTTCGGCCTCCTTCATGTTCTTGACAATCGTAGCACATACTTTTGGATCACTTGGACCATTCAGGTTGGGTTCTACTTCATTATTACCAGAGGAAAGGGTTCCGATCGAATTGCCAGTGGAAGAATTACCAGAGCTACTTCCAGTTGAAGTGTCGGCTCTGGTGATCAATCTTAAATGAAGAGATTCAAAACAAATCATAGATGAGTATCAAAGCCGTTAAGACTATCATTCTTGCCAATGCCGCGTTTACCACACCAAAAGGTCAGCTTACTTTACAAAACGATCTTCAGATGCTAAACCTCGAGCTCGGCGCCCACCACCAGAATGGTCTGAAGAAGGCCTAGAAAAGAGGCGTCATCAAGCAAGAATGAAGAGTTTGAAGATCGAGTTGATTTTTCATTCAAGAGAGAAATTAAAAATCCCATCAATCCAAAAGTAAAAGAAGACATCTCATCAGTTTTAGTCAACAAGAATTTCATCATCTCCTTCCTTTCACGCCAGTTCGAACAGAAGAAAAGATCGAACAAAAAAATTTCTTACATCTCCTGATTTTTCTTCTCCATACCACTTGTCAGGACCGAATTTCGATCTTGATCTTGAGTCAAACAAGTTGCCACGAAGATGAAAAAGTAAAGAGTAGTAGTAAATGAAATTCCTAAATGCATTTTTAAAGATTATAGGCTTGTAAAAAAGAGAATTATATGAGAATTCAATTGATTAAAGAAAATACAAAGAGTAAGAAGTAATTGAAGAAATTAAAAGATGAAAACAAATGTAAGAATGATCACACAAGGTTTTGAATCAATCAAGAGCTCTACTTTAGAAAATCAAAAGAGTTTATGGTAAAACAGAATTAAAAAGAAATCTGATGGATAAGAAGTCTCCCAAAACCCGAGTGATAGAAGACATTGATTTATACTCCAGTGTGATGGCCCTCGATATCCGACATTAGACTCAAGTCTCTGCAGGCTTACTCAAAGAAGATAGTAGGGTCCATGATCCATGACATACCTTCAACAAGGCCATGGTGATCTTTACGTCGAAGGGAAACTTTTTAAGGATATTTAAGTCTGATTCCTTCAAGTTCTCTGAACAGACAAACTATGCTAAGGTCGCCTTCAAGCTATAAGAAAGATCATTCACAATGAGCTGAGTCTGGGCTCAAGATCTGAATCCATTACATGCGCAAAAAGATATAAACCTAGGAAGAAGATTGAGATGGTATACGGTCTAGTATGAATAACTGAAGACAGAGATGTAAGCCGATCCATGACACCTTTAAATTTTCGAATCTCTTTGTCACCGAAATCAAGATGAGGTAAACTGATTCGATTCCTTGATACCATCAAAACCTTCACAATTACCCTACTGATCAAAGCCCCTTTAAATCAAGATAAGACCCCTCTAGAACTCAACTCTTGATCAGGTCATCAGGTCATCAAGAGGGGTGTTGATCATCAGCTCAACAAATCATCAAGGGGTTTACAAAATCTTGATGATTGATTTTGTTTGTTTTTGCGATTGATATCAATCAAAGACACCCTCTCATGAACACAAATCGAGAAAACAAAAAGAGTGTGATCAGATTTCAAAAGATTTCCTCCCAAATGGTAATCAAACAAAATCATTTTTTTTGTTGTCTTCTTCATCAAATCCATTTTTTTTCTATTCAAAAATTCAAGTCAACAAAACTTCAAAACTTCAAAATAACAAAATAACAAAAAATAATCACTCTGCCATTCCTATAAACAAATCAAAAAATCAAAAAAAAAGAAATATATACTCTTAAATACAAAGGTTTTTTTACAATTATTTTCATGAAATCAAACACCACATCATATCATCACATCTAAAAAGAAAATCACCTCATACTACCAAATCCAAACCCCCACTTTCCCCCCCCTGGCTCACCTCGAATCCAACCATCTACTTTTACTTTTACTTTCTATTTTTTTTCCTATCTAAAAACTCTTCATCTCTTTTTTCTTTTTTTTTCAAAACTTCTTCATATAAAAACAAAAGAAAGCAGATCATAAAAAAAATCATAAAAAAAATCATAAAAAAGAAAAGATCATAAAAAGAAGGAAAATCATAAAAAGAAGATCATAAAAAAGAAGAAAAAGATCATAAAAAAATCATAAAAAACAAACAAACAAACCGAGCATACAAAACAAAAAACACACAAACACTTACCTATATATATATATATATAAACAATAAACAAACAAACATAAACCTTTTTTTTCATGAAAAAAACCTAAAAAGAAAGATATTTATTTATTTATTTATATCTATATAAAATATACCGAACCAAAAAGCAAAGAAAACCCCAGACATTTGACATTTCCAAAAGAAAAAAAAAAGAAACCAAAGAAAACCCCCATCTCATCAAATCAAATCAAATCTCATCTCATTCCACAAAACCACAAAAACCCTTTTTTCCTATAAGAAAACAACAATCAAATCAAACAACAAAAAAAACCAAACTAAATACCCAGTTCGAAACACCTTTTTTCCTCCAACTTCAACTTCAATCATTCTCTTCTTCTTCTTGTTGAAACGAAAAAAAACGAGTCAGGATTTAAGAAAAAAAATGAAACTCTTTCTCATAAAAAACAACACAGATAAGATAAAAGAAAAGAAAAAAGCCTCCTAAAAAAACACCACACCGTTTCTCATATATAAATGTGTATTTCTTTCATCATTTTAGTATTTTTTTTAATGATAATTTCATCTTGATGAAGCTTTAAACTTTAATAAAGGAGCCAATCCAGCCATAGTACAAGACTTTTTCAAAAACTCATGCTATTCGAGAAAACAAAAAACAAAAAAAACACACACACACATAACTCAATCAGTTTGATAAAATCGAGTTAAAAAGTCAAAAAAAAAATCATCAATTCACTACTCACTTGTAAAAGTTCATCTGCCGTCGCTCTAGATTTCACATCAACACATAAACAAACCGCCAAAAAGTTTTTCAATTCTTTACTCAACCTTTCCGGTTTCTTCAACGTAGGTGTACCTATTCCAAAAAAGAAAAAAAAACCAAACTCTCATCAATCTTTCCCTCTTCCAGTCAAAGGAAAAAGAACACAAATCAAAACGAAACCTACCATTAGTAGCAATCAAATAAAGTGCCTTCAAAGGTTCTTCATCCAAATAAGGTGGTTCATTCTCAATCATCTCAATAGCCATGATTCCAAGTGACCAGATATCCACTTTGGCTCCATACTCCTTTTGTTTAACGACTTCTGGTGCCATCCAATAAGGTGTACCTACCATGGTGGCTCGTTTTGATTTTTGATCGGTTAGTTTTGCACAGAATCCAAAATCAGCTATCAACCAAAAAAAAATCATCAGATTCAAATTTGGTTTCATATTGTTTGATGAAGAAACCAGATCGGATCACTCAACTGATCTTCACATGTCCTTGACAATCTAAAAGTACATTATCTGATTTAATATCTCGATGAATAATACTCTGTTGATGAAGATGTTGAAGACCTTTACAAGACTAAAAAAACCCCCCAAAAAAAATCAACTTCATTTCCATTTGAGAAGGACAAGAATCAAAAACCCAACGAACCTCATGACAAATACTAGCGATCTGATCTTCTTCCATACTATTATTATCAATCACATCAGTCAAAGCCCCACCTTCCATAAACTCCATAACAACCCAAAGTTCATCATTCCCTAAAATAAAGGAATCCAAGAAATTCACAATATTCGGATGTTGTGATTCTTTCATAACCAGAATCTCATTCACAATCAATTCTTTCCTAGGTTGAACCTTTAAATCCATCTGTTTAATCGCCACTTTCTGTCCAGTAGCCAAAACTTTAGCTACATATACACTACCTGATGCTCCTTGTCCTACTTTTTTGATCTTGGCATATAATTGATTTGGGTCTTGGGGTGAGACCACTCCTCTTAATTTCGTCATGATTTGGGCTTCTGTTAAAGATGAGATCCTACGTTCGTTTGATTTGGCTTCTTGTTTTTTAACTGTTTGTAAGGCTTTCACTACCGGTGCTTGGGCTGGTGTTTGTGTGGCTTGTGAAGGATTCGATAAGTCTGGACTAGCGTTCTCTGAATGATTAGTTTGAGACCCATTAGTTGTAGAAGGGTTAGTAGCTGAAGGAGTCGGAGTAGATTTGTTTGGTAACGTTGGTGTATTACCGTTCGTTCTAGGTTGTCCAAGTTGAAGTGGTTTTGGTCCTTGTTGTAATTTGACAGGCAAACTAGGTTTCGAGACAGGTTTCTCAGCTTGAGTGGGTCTTGCAGAAGCAGAAGATGATAAGCTAAGAGGTTTCAATCCACCTGCTTGAGGTTTAGAGGCAGATGATGGTGCACTAGGTGCAGCACGTTGAGGTACAAGGTTCGGTCTGTTTTGAGAATCTTGGATCGGTCGTGGATTAGATGCAGTGGCCGGAAGAGGTGCTCGATACCCATCATTGATGGTCTCAGGACCACGTGAAGGAGAAGGCGAAGCAAGCGTACGAGGGTTGGCTAGTAGTTCATTTCGCATTTGTTGATTACTAGGTTGATTGCTAAGTCTAGTGGAAGAAGCATTAAAACGAGCACTGTTATGACTACTGTTCAAAGAAGGTGATGTATGATAATCGATCTCATGTTGAGCAGGTGAATCATAACCAGCACCCGCACCATTCGAACCACTAGCACCACCCACTCGATCAGTCATTCCCATATTAGGAGTACCAAGACCATACTCATCATTTTCTCGTTTCTGAATATCAGTATAAAACTCAAGTACATCGAGTACAGCCTGAGGATTCTTGGCATAATCTTCTTTAGTGATCGCCGAACTGGTCAACAGTCTAGTCCATTGTTCAGGTAAACCTGTAAACGCTCCTGAAACCGCATCAAAGCCTACATGAACTTGATGAACGAAATTCGTCGGATTCGAAACTCCCATCAAAGGCGAACGAGAATAAATATCATCCATCCATCCATAGAGTTCTTCATCATTCTTAAGAGCTAGGTTATAGGTTTTTTCTTTGGTTTCGACTTCTAGACAATAAGGACGTAAATCGGTTCGAGCTACATTGGTGATTTCTTTCAGAAAGATGAGTGCAGCAGCAGTTGAAGTAGTCTAAGAATCCAAAAAGAATCAAAGAATCAGTCAAGATTGATGAAGAAAAGAAATCCAATCGAATGGGAAATTGACCTCATTCTTATGAAACGTTAAAGTTTGTTCACGCAGAATAAGCCAACGTTGAGACCAAATCCAACTTCTAAGACCATCTTCCTTCAATTTAGCAAAGCCTCTTCTAACGATTGTAGTTTGATTTGCAGGAGGATTGATAGGAAAAGGAGAAGAACCAATCATACTGCTAGCCGGATTAGTAAAACCAGGAGCAGGTACGTAACCTGAAGGTAAACCAGGAGAAGAAGTAGAAGATCCTGAATTGTAACGAGATGAATGATGAGAGTTGGGATGATGATCGGTTGATGAGTGTTGTGATGGTTGTTGAAGTGCTTGTTGTTGTTCGGAAGGAGCCGGAGGAGCCGGACGAGAAGGAGTAAGAGATGAGAAGTTAGACATCTTCAGCAATGGTATACTACTACTAGCACTACTAGCACTACTACTACTACTACTAATCCAATCTATCCAATCAGAAGCTCAAAAGAGAAGATTAATAATGAATCGATTAGTATACTACTACTTGGTGATTTGGTAAAGTCAAACTAGATTCTATTCAAATTCAAATTCAAATTCAACTCAGACTATTCCAATTTCACCAGAAGACTCAAAATATCACATACCTTTCACAACCTAATTCAACTCTCACTCATCTCTCTCATATTTCAAATTTCAATACAAAAACGGATCAATTTCTTAACCTTAACTCAATTAGACATAAACCTAATTCCAATTAAAACAATATGTACAGCTATTCACGAAATTCGTGTCCTGTTCGCACTTTTTTTTTCTTTTTTCCCCCCCAAATACAGCTGAGAGCATCCACAACGGTCCACCTACTTTGCGAGCCCTGGAACAGACCCCCGATCCTGATTTTGTGGATGTAGGGGGTCAAAAAAACAGGTGTCCACAGCGGTGCACTTGAAGTCAGGGGCCAGAACTCGATTGAGTGATATGGTATGCTTGTACCATATCATCTGGTTTCGAGTGCGGTTTGAGACGTGACTATATCGGTCACGTGGAAGCAGTGGCACGTGATATTGGGAGCCCCTATAGACCTCGCAGATGTGGGGGGTCCGGATGGAAATCTGGAGGCCCCCGACGTCTCACCCCCGATTGTGCGAGCTCCGTTGGAGCGTTTTTTTGCGTTTTGACCCCCTACATCGCTGGGGGCCCGCAAAGTAGGTGGACCGTTGTGGATGCTCTGACGCGCAGCGCAGCAAGCCTGTATCACACCGTGGATTTGGTCAACCCCGAACAGCCCGAACCCCGGGATCTCCTGAGATACATCCTCCCTCCGATTTGGTGCTTGCCACGTCGATAATTTTCACACCGACTCCGCATGCCGAGTGATCACGATTGATTGCTGTTCACTCTCACTATTGACTCATCAGCTTATCAACCTCAATTCACATATGAATCTGTAAGTTTACATCTCTCTCATCTCTTCAAAATGTTATATGAATAAATAACTGAGATTCCGAGTCTCCTTTTTTTTATACAGTATAGATGGATGTCAAAAGCTAAAGCAGAATCTACAGGACTTGAAATCAAATGTGAAGGTAAAGAGTTAATTAAAGATGAATCACCACCATGGAAAGAAATAGCGATCAAGATATATCCATTAGTAAGTGATTATAAATTTCCTTGAAAAACTGATATCATCATTTCAAATTCTGATTTCTATGCGTTTGTAAACCTTTTTTCTTTGAAGTTTTAGTCACTGGTTTACTTCCCTTACAACTCTGGAGCCAAACACATAATTAGTTATTCAATCGTATCCAATCATTCTTTTTACTTGTTTAGTTGATGTGATATGCAATCAATTCAATTTCACACTTGTTTAGAAAAGGCCAATCATCCCGTCTTCGAATTTGATGAGTACAACATCGCTCGCGCCATCAGATCCGCAAACATGTTTTTGCAAGCAAAATGGCTCCTTTTGAACGCCTCGGAGATCTAAAGCTTCAGCGGTCTCTGGACTCAGGATAGCATGAGATGAACCAAGGTTATTCATCTGAGAGATCCTTGGATGTTTAGACTGGAATTCATGGTGCAGAGACCAAAGCCAGTAACTGCTGCAAGTCGAAGTTGTCACAAGAAATCGATTTTTTGATGTTTAAGATGTGTATCGTCCATATGTCTTTCATATATCTCCCCTCAAGTCATGTTTTGCAAATCCACCCAAGTGATGATTTGACCAGGTTGTTAATTCTACCAAAGAATTATGAAGTGTTTGAAGCAGTATTAGGAAAATGAGATTGAAGGCGTGAATTGATGAGAAAAAGATACAGCATAATATTGATCATAAATTTTTCAAGAACTTGATAACACAAAAATCAACTATGAAAAGTCTTTCGAAAGGCTACATTGTTCAAATGTAAAGAATCCATTTAAGAAACCAATCACTCATCACCTCAAAACATTTAGATATCTAGGTATTCAAGTTTGGTTGATCTGTCATCAATTCCACACTGAACTCCTTGGTTCAGGATGGCTCCAGATACTGAAGAGTGAGCCTATAGAATATCAATCAAGTAATCAGAATGCGTCAGGAAAGCATTTGATAGCACCACCATTATCATTTTGATAATTTGATCGATCAGATTGATTTTGGTTTGATTAGATTGGATCACTACTTATTTTTTTGGTTCCGAATGGATGTGCTTTAAGTGACATGAACCAGTGACTATATTCTTCCATAACCTCAAAGAAAAAAGATTACAAACACATCAGAACCAGAATTCAGACCGATGATAATAGCTTTTCAAGGAAGTTTATATCCACTTACTAACTTGATTCCCAGTTTGTGATTCGTATGTGAATTGAAGGAGAGTGGAGTAGATAAGTTGGTAGGGATCGATCATGATCACGGATTGGGTGTGAAAATTCGCAACGTGGCGAGCACAGAATCAGAGGGAGGAAGAGGGAGGAAGTGGCCCGCGGGGTTCGGGGTTGACCAAATCCACGGTGTGATACAGGTTTGCTGCGCTGCGCGTCAGCTGTATTTGGGGGGGGGGGAAAGAAAAAAAAAGTGCGAACAGGACACGAATTTCGTGAATAGCTGTACTGATCACCTTCCAAATCTCGATCCTTGAAGATCTCAACTCTCATCATCAATCTTCTTCTACAAAGGTATCAATATATGCTATACCCTATAAAAAAGACTAAAAGGATTTCTTGCTTTCTATCTATGTACTCACGTTGATGTAAGATGTATATTGGTTGTAATGAAGTTTTCAGTGAGAATTTTGTAAAACAAAGTCTGGAAATGAAACAATAAAAATGATAAATGAAGAAATACCAGTGTGAAGATTTTGTTTGATTTCCCATTGTACCATTCAATCTTTCAAATTCTCATGATAAATTACATGTTGATGGATATTCTTAGATAAACTCAATGATACTCTTAAGAATCAATTTGAATCAAATGCTTCTTTTCTTGTTTTGAATAAGAAATCAATCTTTTGCTAGATTATAATCATGATCATAACCCATAACTGAAACAACAAAGTCTTTACAAATCTTTTTTCATTCACTCTTATGAACATCAAAAAACCATTGATGATACTCAGTAAACAACCAATCAATAAAAATTCATGAAACCTTAATTCCATTCAAACTAATCTTATCAATCTTATCAAAACAAAGAACCATAATTCACATCACCCAATCTCATGAACCATATATAATGAATTTCAAACCTCATATATCAAAAAAGGACCAAATCATAAACTTCAAAAATACCAAAACCAAAAACAAAGTATTTCTAATTTTTTTTGTTTCTCTCTCTCTACGAAACCAAAATCTCAGTCCCACCATGATCATGAGCATGTTCACCTACTTTCATCACTCGATTAGTCCATTCATCTAATTTCACTTTCAATCCTTCAATCTGACTTCGACTCAAGACTCTAGGTTGAACCCACGTAATCTTAGCTGTACCTGAAACCTGATCCAACGAACCTTTAACTAATCCCAAACTAATTCATTTCTTTTCTCATCAGTCTCTTTCTGAAAAAAAAAGAAATCAGTCAAGAGAAAAAGGGAATCAATCACATACCTTAAAGCTTTCATCACTAAATGTTCAACTTCATTCACCGGTAACTTGGTTTCTGATGCAATCGTTGTAAAAGGAATGATCCGATCGGTTACATTCCTTCTAAAGACCGCATCAATCAATGCCATCAAACAAATCTTTTGTCTCATAAACGGATATGAATTCTGTAAGATAGGCTACAAACAAATTGATCCAAAAGAAAAGAAAACCATTCATGATGAATCTTCCAATCCGATCAAACTACAAAAGATGATTGACCTCACTCACCTCTTCTGGAAACTTTGGTGTCAAAGATTCAAAGACGCCTAGATGACCATCATTAAATGCAAACAATAGAGACTTGATCCATTCGTATGGTGTATTGTTTAAGGAATCTAAGATCGGATGTTGTAAAAGTTCTCCGAAATTGTAAATCGTATCACCTAACAGAGCTGCTAGACCTAGATCATGGGCTCTTTGAATCCGACTTTCTAAACTTAAATCTACATTCACATTAGGTAAACAAGCTAAATAAAGTAATGAAGTTTTATAATACGATGCATATGCTGCTTCCCACTAAAGAGAAAAAGAAAAGAAAAAAAACAGGTTTAGTTTGATGGAAAAGTAATCACCTATAACGATCCACTCACTTTATAATAATCACCTGAAACTCTATAAAACCCAGCTCTAACTGAAGTATCAACAGTATCAAGTTTATCTAAGATCTTACGACACTCATTCATGGCTAATTCGGTTTCTTTAGTTTGACCTAACAATAAACAAAAATGAGCAGCTGACATTCGTGAAAGCACATAGGCTTCTGGATCGGTTTGTAATTCATTCGGTTTCACTTTCATTCGTTTTTCTTCATCTTTTAGTGGGATCGGTTTTAGTTTTGTTGCTAGGGATGATAAGAATTCAAGTGCTTCACTTGGATCTGAAAAAAAATCAATGTTTCAGTATGATTCGTCTTTCCACACATTCACATATCAAAAGGGGTAAAGAGACTTACCGGTGTATTGTTGAGAAACAGTGACGGCGATCTCAACTAACTTAAGTGAATTAATCTTATTCTCAAAATCTTTTATAAACCCATTATACAAAGAAATCTGGTACGGAAAAGATATCGGTAAATTTAAAAACTCTAAAATCGAAGTTGTAAGTTGATACCAAAGTCTACATTCAACCCCCCCGCCAAGAAAACCCCATCCAAAAAAAAAAGTAAGTCAACTGAATTTTCAAAAACTAAGACTGGATTATTAAAACTTACTTTCGTTGATAAAGATCAAGAAATGATTCATAGATTGGTTTTATTTCGGTTGGTAATTGATCAATTGTTTGTAAAATAAATTGAGTGGGATCTAAATCGATTTCCATCGTAGGATGATTTGTTTTGATTTTTTTAGGTAAACACGTTTCGGTGGATGAAGTTGTGGGATCTTCGTTGGAAAACAATCGTTTGTTGGAATTTGTTTTTGGTTTTGAATCTGCCAGGATGTTGTTCTGATGGATTATGATTTGAGTGTGGTGGTGGTGGTGGTGGGGTGATTTGATGGATTGGTTCTTCTGATCTGGTTTATTGGATTCCAAATCAATCGAAACGCGCTGACGTATTCGAGTCTGTCTAAACCCATGATCACCTCTACATCAAATTATCAATAACCCATCTTTTCACACCACTCCAGTTAAAACCTCTGAAATGGTCAACTGCCAAAATCTCACAATGAACTTGTCTCCTTGCATCCTTCATGGAATCGGTTCCAAGAAATCGCTCAAGAAGTTCAAAGAAAAATATGAAGTAATATATATCTTCAAATATACATCCTCAAAGTCAAACGTAGAGTGATGATGTATGTATTTCGTCACAAGGCAGTCAGGGTCGATAAACACCTCACTTTAATTACCTCTACACCACCGGGCAGCCTTTGAGCAAAAAAGTGCTGCCGGGGTACGGTCAAAGGTTGAGTGAGTTTCACAGAGATTCAACTTGAGTCTCAGATGGCTATCCATAATCCGCCACGTGATAGCTTTGCAAGCTCCACCCGCATCGTCTCACTGTTGCAGCCAGCAGCAGCAGGATCGCACTGCCATCAGATCACAAACCGTGGTGAATAGATTCACATTTGCCACATCGATTGCCGCATGAATATGGCATCAGCTCTTGCCACCATGAGATCACCTGAGGACCTCATCGTAGCCACAGTGCACACTGCCTCATAACCACACAAGTATTCCACTCAAGACTACATTGTGAGCAAGATGGAGTGTAATAAATGATCTGTCATGTGCTGTGTAATAAATGATCTGTCATGTGCTGTGGAGTTGACCGAGGTTCCAGTGCTCACGTCACGATATGATGTCATTCATGACATCAATCAATTTTTTAGTATAAAAACCGTTCGAACTTCAAGTTCAACCTCTCGTTCATCATCAATATCAAACATCCTTCACACTTCTTTCTATATATCGAGTCATCCTTCACTATTTGTAGATCATCTTGGTGATTATTGACTTGTTCTAAAGACGTTCTTTGATCTTTTCCATGTACATATCGTTCTCACATCAAGATTGTTTATAATTGTATTTCCTATCTGCTGTACTTCTTTCAACTCACTTGAACTCTGTCATCTCAAGTATTAACCAGTGTAGTAGATATCAGTTGAATCTATGACCAAACTTTTGTCTATCTCATATCTAGTCGACCATTGATTTGTTTGTATCTTCTTCACTCACATTTTTTCACATATCAGTAGATATTTATGAACAAGATATCAAAGGGAAGCTGATTGAACTAATTGTAGAACAGTAGTAGGGAATTGTATCAAGATTAAAAAGATGTTCTATCACTTTGAGCGTGTTTCCTTACTTCCTGATCTCCTGAGGGAGTAATTTATTTGCGTCTTTCAAGTTTTTACCCTGGTTAGCCCATGCTCCTGACCAATCCGATCCGGATTGGTCGGGAGTTTTTTTTCAATGGTATTGTATGCCAAGCGACGTCGCAATTGTGTGACGCCCATGTTAATGCTATGTGGTGGCCTATTGTGGTACGCCCACCTGGTTGAATGCAACCACACCACCACCTGAGTGGATGGTGAGTTTCCAGTGAAGCGCTGTGGTGTTCACAGTGCTACCACCTGGGTGGTACTGTGAAACCCATGTGGTTCATGGATTGCAGTCGCAACGTGACTTGCCTCTCGTGAATGCCACGTGAACCACTATAGAGCCAAATGGCAATGTGGAATTGACGCCGCAACTACCCTGTGGTGTATACTATAACTATGAATTTGAGGTTTTGTGATACAAGGGAGAGCTGCGAGATGGACTGATACTGATAGACAATCAGGGAACAATGAGAGATTTACTGAATATGGCAGGAGTTCTTTCCTGCCCTGAAGCTGGGCCATTTTTGCCTAGCGGTCGTCCAAGAATGAATCTACTCAAGATTGCAGGACTCCTTTAATCTGGCCCAAGTCAACGTTGACTAGCGGACGTCGGCCTGCAGGTGACGGTAAGATATAAATACTAGGCCTGCTTTGTGTTCCTTTATTCCCCGAAACTTCACTGCCCCACAACTCATCACTCCGCCTTCCAAACTATACATCTTTTCAATTTTCCTACAATTTTTCATCTTCTCTCAAAATTCCACACTCAAAATGTCTAATTATCCTGTCCAGTCTTGTGAATGGAAGAGGCAACTTGCCCGCTGTAAGGGTTACATAGAGACAGGCATACACACATTATGGTTATAGACAGGTCCAAGATATAGTAGTGAACTTGCCCTAGCTCCAGACGATTTCTTCTTCACCGAACACTCTTTGGACGGAGCTAGGTGAGCATCGTCATATTTCATTTATCTCTCTCTCTATCTGTTTCTCTCTTTTCTATTCTTGTTAGAGTTGTGATCTGATTGTTCTTGACCAAACACTCTTTGGACGGAGCTAGTTCTGTGTCATTAGGAAATATATTTTTGGGTTTTAGATTACGTGTTGATCTCCACGCTCTGTGCCCCCTTTTAGTGAAGACTTACTCGAGAGTCTTACACCCGCAAGGCGCTTGTTCCATTTGGGTGGCTCAGCTGTTGTACGCTTGCCAGCACCATCCCTCCCTGTAAGCCAATCTTGACATATTAGATGGATATCTTCATTTTTACTTCACTGAAATCTCATCATGTGCTTTTCTAGTCCCAACATCTTTATATCCAGAAAACAACGGTATGTCCTTTGTACTTTTGTTTGTGGTGAGTTTCTTTCCAACATCACAGTCATCATATCTCTTGTATGCTGATCAGTACATCTTTCCAATTCACTTCACCCAGCTCATTTGTACCGTACTTGTGCTGTAGGTATCTGGAATCTGCATACATACACATATTAGAGCATCCACTATCGTTTCTGTAAACGGCCTCGGTACAGCAAATTTTACCGTACAGAAGGCCAAAATCCCCAATCGTGTCCAAATCATGCATTGGTACCTACTGATTCGGCAAAAATTCGGTAGAGGTCAAGCAAATTTGCTGGACCTCTGCCGAATTGATATCTACCGATTTTGCTTGACCTACCAGGGCAAGACACACCACAAGTCATCAACTTGCTATTTCGACACACCACAAGTCATCAATTTGCTATCTTATTCTATTTCAATCTGTCTCATTCTTCAACTTTTTCAACTTTGATCATTGAATTCAAATCAAACTCGCATCACTCACATTCATCAAATCAACATGGATTCATCGATTGAAATTATCAACCCCAACAACAAAGAAAACGATCAAAAAGAAAACAATAAAAAATCAAAAGAAAAAAAAAACAACAAGTCTAACAACTGGTCTACTGCGGAAGAAGTCACGCTAGCTGAGGCTTTCCTCCACGTCAGCCAGCAACCTGAGGTCGGCACCAATCAGACTGGCGAGGAATTTACGCAAAAACTCACCGATTGTTTCAATGACACCTCCCCTTTTGAATACCGAGATTTTAATTCAGTCAAGATCAAGTAAGTAGTTTTTGTAGATCTTGTTCAATCTTTCATGATTCCAGTCAATTAAACTGATTTCATCTATCTATTGTTATGTAGGTGGGCCTCTTTGAAGACAGCTACAATCAAGTTTTCCGGCATCATGTCTCAGATTGAAAACAATCCTCCCAGTGGTACTGTGCAGACCAATTGGCCTGAACTCGCCATCAAGAGGTACGACGAGACCAGCAACCGAGGACGCTTCAAATCCCTCGCAGCTTGGAGAATCCTTTCCACCTGTCCGAAGTGGATGACTCCACGTCCTGCACCAGGTCCTCTAGCCATGTTGATTGCCAGCAACATCCCCTCAAGCAACTCAGTAGTCGATTCAGGTGTCAGCACGCCTCGCGCCTCTACGCCTCCTTGCCCTGAGGGAAACAAGAAAACCAAACGCCGACGAATTCAGGATGCGAAGGATGCAAAGGCTGCAGAACTTGAATTAGAACGTGAAGAGCATCTCATCCGGTCCAATGAGTTAGCTGAACGTCTAGTGAAGGCAATTGAAGAGTCAAACGAGCTAACCAAGCAATTGGCTCAAGCCAATGCTGAAGCCAAAGCAAGCTTGGTCCAAGTCAATGAACTCAAGGTTTTAATGATTTCAGAAGATAGTTGTGTCACACCTGTCGCCAAAGAAGTACTTCAATTGATGCAGCGCCATTTGAAGGAAAAATATGAAATGGCTCCTCCATCGACTTCTTCCACTTTGGCTCCTTCCACTAGTACTCAAGTAGTCCACTCAAATCATCAAGGATCTTCTTCAAAATGTGTTCAATTCTTATCATTTTGTCATGGTTCTAATGTTGTTCTACTTGGGTAGTCAACTCAAATCAATAAGAATTTCATCTCAATTCCTACCAGATATTATCGTCTTGCCATCTTCAAAGAATTTTCAAAGAACCAAAGTTGGTCTTCAATAAGATGTGGAGGTTTTTTTTTCAATTTACACTTTTCATCATTTCAAAAACTTGTTATCGATTTCAATTGTTATCATTTCAAGATTGTTTTTGTGACCTCCAATTTTTGATCATTTCATTCGTGATAGTTTGTATAGACCAGCAATGAATAAAAGAAATTTGAGTCTTTACATAATTTCTGGATCCGTTCATGCCCCCCCTGGAGTCACCCAGTTGTGGATTTTCAGGTTGTTCATCAGATGTCAATGCAGATCAGCATCTCGTAAATCAATGTAGTTTGACATCAACACCTCAGAAGTGAGTCTTACTCCAGGATTGTGATGATTTGGAATAATCTCAGTGTTGGTTGGGAAGTCATCAATATGTGGAACCTTAACTTTGCGGTCTTCCACATTCATATTATGTAGCACTATACATGCGTACATGATTCTACGTATATCGTGTAGTTTCCAA